TGATGGTCTAAATGCGTGAATTACACCTTTATTTAAAAATCAAATTCCAAAAAGAAGAAACTTATTAAAGCTGGACTATAGTGTCTAATTTTGTGCCAGATAATAATCCGCAACATAACTGATAAGTAGGTTTAAATCGAGAAAACAAAAAACTCATATCCAGGAAGTTCATCCATTTTGTTACATTGACGTTCCGTCAAAGTAACTAGTTGTGGAACAGTGTGAGATTGTCATATTCTATGGAATATTCTGCCATGTTCTATGGAAAATATACTATGCAAGGTTGTCATTACCAGTGTTTAATTAAGGAATAAATAATGATAGGCCATTCAATATGGTGAAATTCAGCACAAGTTGGACAGAATGTTGTTCAAAGCACGAACCGAAGGTGAGTGCATTTGTACTAACATTCTGTCCAACGAGTGCTGAATTTCACCATATTGAATGGCCTATCATTATTTATTCCGATTCAAACATAAAAATTAGTAAAAGCCGTGTCTGTGGAACGGGCATGAAGGAAGAATACGCATGCTGTCAAGATTCTGAAGTCGGCCGGAAAAATTTTAGAATTTGTTTGGGCTGTTCTATTTTACTCCCCGTTTTAGATTTTATACGGTGTATAAACTTGAAGTCAGCCATAGTTAAATAGTTACAGTAGTTACGGAGGGAGTAAAAAAGAACAGCTATCCCCGGACAGAGCCCCAGATGTGCAGCTGAGATGTGACGTCACTCAAAACAATGCAAATTGCAGATTGAATAGAGCATGGTCGTGCATCTATGGAGAATTAGAGAACGTTCTATATTGGCTATGCTGCATTCTGATTGGTTGAGAAATTCGAATAGAGCACGGTCATGTTTGAATATAGATTAGATAGAAAGGTCAGCAAAAGTACTAATACAAGATATCCTACCCTAGGGGCTTTATGTTATGCTGAGCTAGGAACCCTACTGGCACAATCAGGGGGAGAATACATCTACTGGAAGGTGGCATTCTACCCTTTTGATTCGTTAGCTTTTATGATGTCATGGTGCAGTATCGTGGTGCTTAAACCATCAAGTGTTGCTATTATTTCTCTTACGTGTGCTGAGTACATTGTTGTCATGAGCTTTGGAGATGATTGTCCCGAACCACAGCTCATCAAGAAGTGTCTCGCTGCTGCTATTGTTTGTAAGTGGTTGAGCTTGTTACCTATTTGCTTACAGCATATTAGACCACACTTATATATGACAGTTGCTTATAAATCGGTACTTTGTTTTTATGATTTATCATTCATTAGTGAAATATTGTTCTAGACTGTAGTCTTGTGTCATTCAAACATCAGTACTCCCTATTCTTAGTGTTGATAACTGTAAGGGGGTAAAAGGACTAGATCTGTCGCTAAAGACGATTCTCGGTTTGGAGAACAGTCTCCTGGGCTAATATTTTTTTTCATGAAAAATATAAAAATATTACCCAAGTTAATCTATGAATATTCAAAAGAGGACATTTAGATCTACAAGATGTAAAAATAACAAATTGGTCTGAAGCAGGGATAACGCTCAATTAGACCGATTCAATAAAATACAAGTCTCGATTTGGGGAAAGAAGTTCATCAGTGCACTGCGCTAATATTTTTTTGCGAAAAATCTAGAAATATTGACCAAATTAAATTATGACTATTCAAAAGAAGACGTTCAAATCTATATTATGTAAAAAAATCAAGTTTGCCCGAAGCAGGGATAATGCTCATTTAGGTTGATGAACTGCGTTCTCCAAACCGAGAATCGTCCTTTGCGGTATTTAGGGTTCACTGATTTTACTAATCATGCCATCTTTAATTTACTGTGATCTTATTTTACCGTATGCCTAATAGTAATTCTTACTCATAATTCTGTTTCTGCTTGCATACATTTATGTTAACAACTTTTCCATCTGACTTCAAGCGCCACCACCAGTTAGCAATTTGCCAGATAATTAAGGATAAAATACTGTTTAAGGGTAGAATGATGGATTTATTTTCATTTCATGCTACAGAGCTGACATTTTGGATCTGACATACTTTAACCTATTTCCTTCATGCCAATCTGTGTTTATTTCAATCATGTACAGAAGTGTTATCTTTACAATATAATATGTATGATTTAAAGGAAGCACTCAACATAAAGAATCAATGTTTATTTGGTCTTTTGCTTCAATCATATATACATGTAGTTATAATGTATTGTGAAAAACAGACCTTTTTAGTACCCTGTGTCTGTTTTTGGAACTTACAATATGGTCACAAGTCATTGTTCGTCAAATACTAGACAATGGTTTTCTTGAGGATGTTACACAATGTATCTAAAAGAGAGAAATGCTCTTCATTTTAGAAGAGTCTGTGGTTCAAGAAGTTCAAAAAACACCAACTTTATCGAATATGAGAAACATCTCTGACTTTGTATTTAATAGGAGCTCTGAGCTATGCTGAACTAGGAACATTAGTACCTCAATCTGGTGGTGAATATACATACTTGAAACATGCCTTCCATCCTTTTGAGGTCTTTGGCTTTTTGTTTGCTTGGATGAGAATGATTGCGATTGTGCCATCAGGCATGGCTGTCATTCCTCTTACATGTGCGGAATATATTGTCGCCATCATGTTCCCGGATTGTGAATCACCTGTTGTAATTAAGAAAATGTTAGCGGCTGCTGTGATATGTAAGTGTGTTTCTATTGGCCTCCATCTGTTTATTCAGCTTGACGTTTGATCTTTTTCTTGTAGCCTATTGATACGTGCACTCACTCTTTGCACTATTAATACCGTATGCTGAAAAAACGCAAGCTAGACTAGACCATGTCATACCTTAGATACACTCTCTGATTCTCTGACGTTGTATTTCACAGGAGCCTTGTGCTATGCTGAGCTAGGGACATTAGTACCTCAATCTGGAGGCGAATATGCATACTTGAAACATGCCTTCCATCCTTTTGAGATCTTTGATACGTGCACTCACTCTTTTCACTCTTAGTATCGTATGCTGAAAAAACGCAAGCTAGACTAGACCATGTCATACCTTAGATATCTGATTCTCTGACGTTGTATTTCATAGGAGCCTTGTGCTATGCTGAGCTAGGGACATTATTACCTCAATCTGGAGGGGATTATGCATACTGGAAAACTGCATTTCATCCTATCGATGCCCTTAGCTTTTTATTTGCATGGACGAGTATGATTGTGATCAGGCCGTCAAGCATAGCTATCATTTCTCTGACATGTGCGGAATATATTGTCGCCATCATGTTCCCAGATTGCGGATCGCCTATTTTAATTAAAAAAATGTTAGCAGCAGCTGTGATCTGTAAGTGTTTTTTTTATATTGGCCTTGATCGGTTAATTCATCTGGTTGTTTGACCTTTTTTGACCTTTTTCCTATGACCTATATGCACACACACTGCGTCTCTCTCTGCACACACCTTTTGCTGTATGTTGGTTTTTTTCTTCTTCTTTTTATTACCATAGACAAGAGGAGGACGAGGACATTGATCGGGGAGGTAGGGGGGGGGGGCAAAATGTCATTTTGAAGCATAAACAGGAATATTCCATAAATAAGGCCATTTCATGAAATAAGACCTAATATATGGATGAAATAAAAACACTTTTATAATTCAAGTTTCCAATTTCTCATCTTCGAGAGGAAGATTTGTTTTGTTTGTTACGATCTTTTTACCAAGATGTCAGTCTGTAGTTACCAGTTTCACCACCAGGTGACTAATTCGGGTCTCATGTTAGACTATGGCATATGACAGAAAAGACTCTAACTTAGAATTTTCAGTAGATTCAGAATCTTTTTGAGTTTTTCTTGTATAAAATCCTCTCTCGATTGTAAACACTTATCTACAGTGAACATTTTTTGTGGCTCCATAGGTGTTCACAATTTACAGGTTTTCCTGTATTTTTTATGTAGATTTCTTATATGGCATCACTTTTACTGAATTTTGAATCTTTAATGATGTAAATCAGGATCATCTCTATTCTCTTCTTGCATCTTAGTAACTCTAATCATTTATAAATATCTACTTTCCTTTTATTCCCGAGAATTGATAACAAGAGTGACCAGTTTTATACCAAGTCCCTGTTGGTTCAATGTTTTATGAAATGAGACAATAGGGAGTGTAGGTACAGGCCTGGAGTTGGACACAAATTCCAGCAATACATGTCATTGGCTTTTACTCTCCTTTGCCCTTGTTAAGAGCAGATTAAATCCCAGTTTGTTCCCAACACATAAACATCTTAGTTTTTAAGAACACAACCTGTATATTTAAGACCATAGTATACATTTATAATAGGCTTATACCCCATTTTATTTTGAATCTGAATTGAACACATTCATATTCTCTGTATTTCACCACCCTCCCCACCTGTTTTTTTTTGATAAATTTTGTTTATTCTTGAAATATGCTTGACATCCCCTTAGTTTATTATATTCATATCATAGTAACTAATAGAAATAAATGAGTTACATTAATTCTTGAAACAGTTCTGTCTAAAACAAATATTCCACTGTAATAATCTAAAATTATCAAAATATTTCTTAATTTAGAATCTTGAGATCAAATATTTAAAAATATGATAATCTTTCAGAGGAAAATGTAGAAAAATAAATTGTTTAGGTTCTATATGTACAAACATATTAACAGTGATGAAAAAATTATATAAGACAGCTCAAGCAATTAATGGTATTGATATTAGGAAAGCTAGTTTACAAAGAAGCTTGAGAAGAAACTACAGTTCTCCATCAGAGCCTCAACATTTTTTTATTTTAATATTGTTTATCTATATTTTGTAGGTGTGCTAGATCATTGAAGAATGAAGATATATGGTCATACTAACTAAATCAATACTTCAATTCAGTGTTGTTATAATAAAAAGAGCATTTGTATTTTGTTGCTTTTAGGAGCTTTATTTTATGCTGAACTTGGTACATTTATTCCGAAATCTGTTTTCGCATTAATAAGTGCATTTGTATTTTGTTGATTTTAGGAGCTTTAGCATATGCTGAACTTGGTACATTTATTCCGAAATCTGTTTTCGCATTAATAAGTGCATTTGTATTTTGTTGATTTTAGGAGCTTTAGCATATGCTGAACTTGGTACATTTATTCTGAAATCTGTTTTCGCATTAATAAGTGCATTTGTATTTTGTTGATTTTAGGAGCTTTAGCATATGCTGAACTTGGTACATTTATTCCGAAATCTGTTTTCGCATTAATAAGTGCATTTGTATTTTGTTGATTTTAGGAGCTTTAGCATATGCTGAACTTGGTACATTTATTCTGAAATCTGTTTTCGCATTAATAAGTGCTTTTGTATTTTGTTGATTTTAGGAGCTTTAGCATATGCTGAACTTGGTGCATTTATTCCGAAATCTGTTTTCGCATTAATAAGTGCATTTGTATTTTGTTGATTCTAGGAGCTTTAGCATATGCTGAAATTGGTACATTTATTCTGAAATCTGTTTTCATAATAATAAGTGCATTTGTATTTTGTTGCTTTTAGAAGCTTTAGCATATGCTGAACTTAGTACATTTATTATAAAATCTGTTTTCGCATTAATAAGTGCATTTGTATTTTGTTGATTTTAGGAGCTTTAGCATATGCTGAACTTGGTACATTTATTCCGAAATCTGTTTTCGTATTAATAAGTGCATTTGTATTTTGTTGATTTTAGGAGCTTTAGCATATGCTGAACTTGGTACATTTATTCTGAAATCTGTTTTCGCATTAATAAGTGCATTTGTATTTTTTGATTTTAGGAGCTTTAGCATATGCTGAACTTGGTGCATTTATTCCGAAATCTGTTTTCGCATTAATAAGTGCATTTGTATTTTGTTGATTTTAGGAGCTTTAGCATATGCTGAACTTGGTGCATTTATTCTGAAATCTGTTTTCATAATAACAAGTGCATTTGTATTTTGTTGATTTTAGGAGCTTTAGCGTATGCCGAACTTGGTACATTTATTCCGAAATCTGGAGCTGAATATGTTTATCTCCTAGAGGGATTTGGATCAAGGAATGAGAGAATTGGAGGCATTCCAGCTTTCCTATTCCAGTGGGTCTCTACCCTGTTACTTAAGCCATCCTCATTTGCTATCATTACCCTAGCTTTTGCATCCTATACCCTGGAGCCTTTTTTCCCAGCATGTGGACCCCCAGAGGTCATGTTAAAGTGCCTAGCAGCAGTCGCCATATGTAAGTCACCTCCTAGTTTATCATATAAGAACAACGAAGGAATATGAAACAAAGATTGAATAAGGGATCAAATCAAACATTTGGTATTGATTTTAACCTATTTACATGCTATTATTGTGTATTCAGTCAAGTTAGACTGGGAACAATCATGATTTGCCAATAGATTGTGGTGGGAGCTAAATAGAGTGTGGTACTGCGCCACAGTCTAAAGCCTAGCGAGAGCCCTGATGTTGTAAGATAATTTCAGTAGATTTGTTTCATATTAAGGGGAAATGGGGAGGAGGGAGGGAAGATGGTTGAGTGAAAACATAGATCAGCAAGCTATAATCCCCTTTTTTTTTGTTTACAAGACTATGTGAAAAGTTATAGACAAAGTGGGTGTTGGTATCGCCGTGATAATTCTAGTATTTATTGAAATTGAATTGATTCATGACCTCGATTTTGTTTTATTTTATGCATTCATCGAGAAGTTGCGACATATTGTTACAGCTACTATTTGTTCGGTAATCAGCTTTGTCAGCATTCAGTGTCTTTAACAAATGGTTACACTGTAACAAATGGTTACACTCGGTAACAAATGGTTACACTTTAGTTACAATCAGGTTAAGACATTTTGTCATATTTATGCCTTGCTATCAATAGAAAAGAAAATAGGTGAGTATGAAATCACATTTCCCAAATTTAATATTTAAGTCACCATTAACCGTAACATACATGTAACCTATCCTAGACCCACTGCTAAATAAAATTGATTCATGTATAGTAAATGTATATTGTATACTACTATCATATAAAAAATGCCATTTCTCACTTTTAATAAGACAAATAAACCAAAATATATTTACTATACTCTTTAATATGATGAATGACATCACAATAAAAAAGACAATTTGGTTTATTTATCAAATGAGAAATATATGAGCTTAGACATTATAAAGAAATAATTTATTATATAATGCACCATTAAGGTCTTTTCCCCTGAAATAATATATGTAAGAATATAAAATATTTCTGATTAATTTTATTATTTTTATTTATTTTAGTGGTCATTACAGCAATAAATTGTTGGAGTGTGAGACTAGCAACAGGAGTTCAAGTATTTTTCACAGGGGCAAAACTTGTTGCCATGGCTGTCATCATAATAGGTGGCATCGCTATGTTGGCGAAAGGTTGGTTGGCATAGCAACGCTTATTTTAACCAACTGCATGAGGTTTTTCATTATTTTCTTGTTTTCATACTAACATTTTCATTATTTTGTTTATTTGCATGGCTGTTTATGATTTCTGCTTTATTTTATGTTATGATTAGCATGTTTTATGTAAAGGGGTTGTTTCAAAAAATCAACATCTATCAAAAAAGTACATGGGTGGGGGCAGGGATAAAACACAGTTTATCCGACGCAATTACATCTATCAGGTTGATGAAGGTTCATTTACAGGGGAAGTTTGGGAATTTATTCAAAATGAAACATTTTTTAAAAGATGTTGCTTTATTCACCCCCTAAAATGTCTCACTCTCATTCTTTCAATTGCTTGAGCTGTTTTTGTAACCTATTTTCTTGTGGTTTATGAATCTAACATACATGTATGCAGACTGTTGTATGTTCTTACTGCATGCTTAATAAATCTATATGCCCCATTATTATGGGAACTCTTCTCTCATCTTAGTTGCTAAAATAACATTGTTTTATATTTTGGTTGCTATAGTAACTATTACTGCTGTTAACTGCTACAGTACTAAAGCTGCTAATAGAGTTCAGATAATCTTCACATGGATTAAGCTAGCTGCTATTGGTATTATCATAGTTGGAGGCATTGTGCGCCTTTTTCAAGGTACTAACACCATAAAGGTCTTGCGTCAAGTTTCTTAAACTTCACCCCATTTTTATGTCACAACCACAAGTGGTGACATCTTAGTCTCAATAGTCTCAATTGTAGACAACGTTTGGCTGGTTTGGTTGGTGTTTCATGTTTTGTTTCTGTAACAGGCATCTGTAACAAATAGCAGGTGGTGACATTTTGCATGTTAATGCCTTTTATATATTGCACTGCACATCCTGTGAGGATGAGGTGTGTAGACTGAGGGCTTGACTCAAGACTAACATAAAAAAGTTTCTTAGGGATGTACTGTGAATGTTGACAGTTGTGGAAAAATCAAGATAATATCATTCTGATTGAACCAACCCCTACCATTATAAAAAATTGAAAATGTGGATTAACAGTAAGTTGAATTTTCTAACAAAATACATTGTATATACATAGTACTATAGAGTATTCTGGAACTAAAAATACAAATGCTCTAGTTTTAAGAGATTAACTTGTTTTGAAATGAAATTACTACAGATTGTAGAGTAACGTTATTACAACATATCTTTCAACTTTCATCACACATAGTCTCATATATAATCTTTCCAGGGAAATTGACTTCTTTCTTCCACAACTGTTATCAATTGGACACCAGCCCTTATAAAAATACTTTTAAAATTTTTTTTTTATTTATTTATCATTTCCTAATGAAAGATACAAGTATACAAATAACATAATACAATACTAGCAACAGCAACAGGTTGTGTAAAACTTACATTTTTTCTAATCAATATTTCAAAGTTAAATAAAAACTCTTAGTTTGGATGGTCTCCCTTTTTATATTTGCTAATAACATTTTGTGCCACTGAAATAACTAAATTAATTTTTTGACCTTATAATAATACTAACATCAATGATATATTCATTCTAGTATTTTTCACAAACTGATATTTGGTATTTACAACAGATAATATAAAGGTTTCAAATGTAGTCTACTTGTCAATAAATCCATACATTTATTCTTTTGTAACCAATTAATAAACAAACTAGGAGTAACGTGATAAAAAGAACTTTTTGATAACCTCCTCTTGACTCGTTCTCCTTATAATTTGCTTTGATGTTGTGATTTAAATATGAGATACTTGTTAGCTTCAGGAGATACTTGAAGTTTTTAATTATGGTATATGATAAAACATTTTGCTTCAAGGCCAAATAAAGTTCATTAAATGGTCTGTATTGTAGTTTTTACGTACAGTTGCACTGCAAATTGTAAAACATTTATATTCTGGACTCTCTGGTTTTAATACTTTGTTCACTCAGCAAGATTTTTTTCATCAAATGCATTTTTGAAATCTAGATAAAAGGATGATGTTGTTAGACACAATAAAAGTAGCAAAAAACTGCTTTTGAGAGATATCTATTATCACTTAAATCGTGAAAGAAAGGAAAATTAAATTACATTAAAATACCAAAACATTTCACTGTATTTGTTTTGTGCTACCTTGTAAATCTTGCTCAATCTTTTTCCTTGCGAATATCCTATGATATTTAACAATTTGTAAACTAAAAGTAATCAGTTCCTAAATCTTTTTTTAGGAAATACACAATACCTAACCAACTCGTTCGAAGGTACTACCAATAATTTTGGAACAATAGCCATTGGGTTTTATAATGGTCTATGGGCGTATGATGGCTGGTAAGATTTACTCATTTGAAACACTAAATTGTATTCACAATATAAATAAAGCCAAACACTGCCATAATGAACTTTGAATGCATTTAAGTTTTAGGCTGATATAAAGATGGCAGTGTGGTTTGTCTATATCTTTTGTAGTCTTACATCAGACCTAAAAAATAAAGCACCCTCAAAATATGTTGAGAACTTTTGCTGTGATGGCACTAATGCTACAGTTTTGATTAATTAGTATGTCCACTGGTGATCCAAAGGATAATTACTTAAAAATATCCTTAAATGATGATATCACCTTACACTGGAAAAATTTACACATTGATAATTTGTGTTTACTGTATTTCAGGAACAATCTCAACTATGTGACAGAAGAGTTAAAGAATCCATATGTGTAAGTATAGTTTTTTTTATGTCACCACCAGAAGTGATGACATATTGTTATAAGTCTCCAACTCTTTTGCAGATGGTGTTTGGCATTAGGCAGTCAGTGTTTGATGTCTGTAACAAATGACATGTGGTGTCATTTTGGATGTTAACATATTAATGCCTTGTATAGACTATACTTTTTATATTGCATATTAAATTTCATATAAGATATAATTTGCATGATCAAGGAAAGGTGAGGGGGAAGCATAAGCTCTAAGAAAAAACTTTCAATTTATTTTCGTTTCCTTATATTTCAAAAAAGACCTTAAATCTTATATATAACTTTAAATTTTGTAAAAATACAATTGTCTTATGAAAATAAAAAAAGTTTTTACTTAATTCATTTCAGCAATCTTCCAAGGTCTATTATGATAGCTATCCCATTGGTTACCATATGCTACCTATTAGTGAATATCTCTTATTGTTAACTGTTTTTATTTAATTCATTTCAGCAATCTTCCAAGGTCTATTATGATAGCTATCCCATTGGTTACCATATGCTACCTATTGGTGAATATCTCCTATTGTTAACTGTTTTTACTTAATTCATTTCAGCAACCTTCCAAGGTCTATTATGATAGCTATCCCATTGGTAACCATATGCTATCTATTGGAGAATATCTCCTATTGTTAACTGTTTTTACTTAATTCATTTCAGCAACCTTCCAAGGTCTATTATGATAGCTATCCCATTGGTTACCATATGCTACCTATTAGTGAATATCTCCTATTGTTAACTGTTTTTACTTAATTCATTTCAGCAACCTTCCAAGGTCTATTATGATAGCTATCCCATTGGTTACCATATGCTACCTATTAGTGAATATCTCCTATTGTTAACTGTTTTTACTTAATTCATTTCAGCAACCTTCCAAGGTCTATCATGATAGCTATCCCATTGGTTACCATATGCTACCTATTAGTGAATATCTCCTATTGTTAACTGTTTTTACTTAATTCATTTCAGCAACCTTCCAAGGTCTATTATGATAGCTATCCCATTGGTTACCATATGCTATCTATTGGTGAATATCTCCTATTGTTAACTGTTTTTACTTAATTCATTTCAGCAACCTTCCAAGGTCTATTATGATAGCTATCCCATTGGTTACCATATGCTATCTATTAGTGAATATCTCCTATTGTTAACTGTTTTTACTTAATTCATTTCAGCAACCTTCCAAGGTCTATTATGATAGCTATCCCATTGGTTACCATATGCTATCTATTAGTGAATATCTCATATTGTTAACTGTTTTTACTTAATTCATTTCAGCAACCTTCCAAGGTCTATTATGATAGCTATCCCATTGGTTACCATATGCTATCTATTAGTGAATATCTCCTATTTCACTGTGATGGGATCAAGTGAATTATTGGCATCAGGAGCTGTTGCTGTGGTAAGACAGTTTATGGTTACCCTGTAGTTTGCTCACAAAAGCTCCATTAATGTTAGATATATTAATAATATTTTGATAAATGTCATCATTTGTTCAAATAAATTATAGATAAGAAGGAAATAATAGATCTATGTTATGTAGAAATATACAAGTAATTATAACAGGGTAAAGATGAGGGAGATTAAAAGGGAATTCGATGAGTTTAGAGTAAATGAAAACAATTTTTTTCTTTCATCATTTCATGTCATGCCTAGAATTGGATGTCCCTTTTATATTTCATTTAAAACTACACAGTCCTATGTATGTGTTTTCTGATTGCAAATTGTTTATGGGGGTTTTATTCTAGACATGGGCAAACACTGTACTTGGACCAGCAGCAGTCATTATTCCAATCTCTGTTGCATTTTCAACTTTTGGGGCTGCAAATGGAACTATGTTTTCAGGCGGAAGGTGAAAATATAAAATATCCCATATAGGATGTAAACCCATTATATAAATACCCTATTTACTCTTATAAATGCCCTATTTAAATGCCCTGTTTACTCTCATTGTGTACCAAGCAAGTAGAATAAGTCAAATCACATATTACAACCCAGCTTTATTTATTCATTCCATCTTGATTGCCTTAAAAGTGCCCAGAATTTCAACTCCAGTAATTTCCCTGATCTCACTTCCTTCCCATAGATATCACCTCTGCATGAGACAGAATATAATGCACTTTTTATACAGAATATGTTAGCTTATTCCTTGACCTTTATTGCTTTATAAGTAATATGATGATATTATGGCAGAATGATTTGGTTTGCTGTATTAAACTGATCAAAAATAGTGGAATTGGTCGTAAAAGAGTCAACATCACAGGACATCTGGATTGTATAGTTGAGACATACAACAATGCACTTTCTTATTTTAAGAGTCCCATTTCAGGATCCTTTATTACTGAGTTATAGAGGCAGACTATAGTTTTATTCCATGATTAGCAAGAAGCCCCATTTAATGCCCTTCCCTCTTGTATTCTTTGATTTGTATTACATTTTAGGGATCTAATTGAACATATAGTCTTCATAGTATTTTTCTTCCAAAATTTTTATCACAAACCTATGCATGTTTTATTTTGAGAATATTCCAGATTTTCAGATGCCTGCAGCTGTTTTACAACAAAAACAAAATTATTTACCTTTGGGAGGTCTTTTAATGTATAATATGCATTCTCAATCATGTTATTTATTCAGACCTGGGGAGACCAAGTGTTAGGTGTAATGGCCTGGCTGATACCCCTTTCTGTGGCATTCTCCACATTTGGAGCTGCAAATGGATCATTGTTTTCAAGTGGCAGGTATAGATGGCAGTAGTCACTTGAGTAGCACGGGACCTTTGAAATCTTGGATTTGGATTTACTGTATTCTTGAATCTTAGACGTATTCACAGGGCCCTAGCAAGGATATGAAATTACAGAGGCAAAATGGTATTTTTGAATTCTGAAATCATCGAGACAACTTATGTAGATTCTTTGATCAATTACACAAAATTATTACCAAAGTTACCTCAGTAGTTTCATGACTTTAAAGGGCCCATATAGCTTGTCTCTTTCAAAGTCTAACATTCAATGTGAAATGATTACCGTATATAAAGTAAAATTAACCAATAGAATGCCATGGATTGTTGCCTCATAATTAAGCTGAGTTGATTCCCGAATTTGCATGTTTGACTGAATAATTAATGAATATAGCTTTCTACTTTATAACAAATAACTCTCTCACTTTATAATCATAGATGTTCTAGCTCAGTTCATTTTCCCTATCTGTTTCAGATTCTTGTGTGTGGAGGGCTTTCTAATATGAATTGTTGTACTTTACTTGTTACAAGTACAGGGTGAGCCAAAAGCAGATAGCCCCAAAAGATCATAATAAGGTTAAATTGTGCCAAATATGATTTAAATTACATACTGTGTTATTAAGGTACATTAGGGTTACCATTTCTTGGCTCACCCTGTCTGTATATCTAAGAGCTGAATGATGGTTTATCCCATTCAAATACTTTTTTGTCTTGATTTGAATAGTAATTGCTATCTTAGAGTCTGATGTAAGTCTCAGTCTGAACTAAACCTCAGTATATAATATGATTTAGACATGGGGAGAGCATGTACTGGGAAATGTGGCCTGGTTGACCCCTGTTTTTGTGCCATTGTCCACTTTGGGGGCTGCAAATGGATCATTGTTTGCAAGTGGCAGGTATAGATGGCACTAGCAGATGTCAATATAGTTGGCTGAGGTCATTTGAGTAGCACAAAAACCTTTAAGTTGTGGAGGACTTCCAGGAGTGAATCTGATTTTTGAAATATTATTTTACATTCTTCATGGGTTGAAATGCTCTAAATATTACATGAATTTATTACATTATGGATATTAAAGTTCTTTTTTTTGGTTTGGGAAAAATGTTGCATGCTGAAATATTGTTAAACCCAGAGCTTTGATTTTTCAACAGGTGTTGGTGACCACATAGTGGTGAAGTGGATATCTATCCTTTGAATGTACTAACATGTTTTCTGTTCTAACATGCATACAGACATTTGGAGATAAGTTTGCGTATTTAGTTCACTGGTCAGCGTCATTAGTAGCGGGTCTTGCTAGCCTTGCTCTTCTAGGCTCTGCAAAGAAACCACTCATGCAAGCTGAAAGGTAGCATGCTGTATATGACTTCTAGCATTTGCTACACAGCATTGTGTCCTTGTTGTGAAGTTACTTTGCAACAAAACTATAATTGAAATGTAGCATGTTTGCTTTTCAAACTTATATATGTGGATAAACTGTATCAATTATCGCCCATTTTGAAAAACATTTTCCTGTATTTAAATGATGATTGCATCCCTTACTATTGTCACATTAATTCTGATAATATCTTCTAATATTCTCAGTGAAGATTTAGAACAGATGTCAAAATTACCAAAAAACAGAACTTCAAAATTTCTTGATCAAGAGTTTTAACATTGACAGTGAGAACTTGTGGAATGCACTGTCATTGTTGCAAAAAATCAGTCATGCCATTGTGAAATAAATAGATTTCTTAGGTCACAGAGGCAATCTGTGATGTCACAATACAGGAGTCACATGACATATGTAATTCCTGAAGGAGAATGCATATGGTGTTTAAACTGCTTCTTTATTCGGTACATTAAATATTCCATACATACCAAATAAAACAAACAATTTACCAAACCTTCACCCAATCTATCGAATGTTTTTTATTTTATCGAATATAATAATCGATACAATTTATATTCGCTGAACAGTTTCACTTGTTCTTTGTGTTGGCAATTACTTTTGATATCTATACATGTATTTGTGTGATTCAGCGATTCAATTTGTTTTCCTTAGCGCACGTATAATTCAATTGATTATTTTTACATTCGGTATTTAACTAATTTATATTCGGTAAATACCGAATGCCACATTCGATAAATTTCGTTATTTTTCGATACTTTACGAGACTTTCAGTCTCGTGATATATGAAAACGATGTTGAATAGCTGCGCGGCCATTTTGCAAAACTCGAGGTCATGTGACAAAATATCGAACAACAACGAAACTTATCGAATATTGCTTTAATTTTAATTATTGCATTCGGTAAATAGCAAATTAGCTTTCGGTAAAAAGCATAAACTATGGTATTAAAAAATAAATCATTTGGTAAATATAGACAAACTTATTTCGGTAAGGGTTCAAATAGAAATTCGGTATTACACATTTACGTATTTCTCTTAAGGAATACCATAACAGTTTACGCAAAACATATATCATTTAGTGAATAAAATATGTAATTTAATGCACATAGTATTAAGGGATTTGATCCATTGGCTATTTTGAAAACTTAATTCGCTGTAACAAATATATAAATGTTTTTACCGAACGGAAAATTAATTTAGCGAATATAAATATTCCATATATCGAATATATTTGAATTTAACGAATAAAGAAGCAAAAATAATGCCATAAATGCATGCTTCAGTCAACCAGCTTTGCATGAAAAAATGGAATGTATGCATTAATATAAGAGCTGTGATCTGTAGTCTAACAACAAATATGTTCCACTACATTATCTTCATATTGAAGGATAATTGACATGCAAGGATAGAAGAATATCATGTGATGTGTGATATCATTAACTATTATGACAGCTTTCTTATTTCTAGCTTTATCTCTACACCTGTCTGCCTAACAACAGCAATGTTTGTTACATTTGTATATCTAATTGGAACTACAGTGAAACCTGTAAAGTGAAACACATCTACGAGTTGAGCACCACTGTCAGTGAAATACTTCTCAGAGTTCCAAGAACAACTGACTTCATGTTAAATGAACCTCCATAAGTAGAACACCTCTCTCCGAAGAGGAACACCTTTTAAAGGTACCAAAGGTGTTCAACTTAGACAGGTTTTACTGTATGTTGTTTTTGTGCCGGTTTGCTTGCATGAATTTTTAATGGGGCCATTGTTTGAAAGAATATAATGAAAATACAAGATCAAGTATAATGCATGTAACTTCTGAAAATGGTCCTTGGCATTATTAGCTTTATTGTAGCTTTTGTTTTCTTCTAAATTTCCTGATATGTGAAAAAATTGCAATGCAGCTACTAGCTATTTGTAGATTTGGTTGTATGCATATTCTGAGAAAGCACTGGCGGATTTAGAAGCTAACAAAGGGGGTAGGGGGCAAATTTTGTGTCAGGAAAAGCGGGAAAAAAAATTTGGAGCCCCTAAAACCAAAAATTGGTCCCATAATTTGACAATTAAAGGCCTATTTTTTTTTAATAATTTGCCCAAATTATGCCCAAAAAGGCCCAAGGCCCATTTTTGAGGCCTTACAAAATATTTGGAGCCCCACATTTTTTTCTGCCCCCCTGGATCCGCCAGTGGAATGGGCTCAGGTTGAGCTTAAAACTACATTTATAATTTTATTATATGTAATGTGACAGTTGGTCTCTTGAAAGCCCATTGTACCTCAAAGTGAATTGATTTTGTTTAATGTTTAAAATAAGTGTTGATATTAATAACCCAAAATTGAATACAACAATAAATTTTCAAAAAAGACTAAGATATTAGATGAATAGTTAAATATTGTAAAAATTAATTGCTTTCTTTCCATTATTTCCAGGTTGTGTTATGTTGCTGCCCGTGAAGGTCACATGGTTGAGATTCTATCAATGGTGAATGTCAGACGCTTAACACCCCTCCCATCACTTGTGTTCACAGTAAGTCATATCTAACTCAGGCATACTTGTATATATTTTTAAATATTGTCCAAGTATCTATCATGATTCCAGGCTACATTTCAATTTTCTATCAGGCTGCAGTTACAGTGACTTGAAGTGACTTGAAGTTATTGTATATCACCAATGAATATATTTACCTCAATTCCATTTTGTTCTTGGCGACATTTCAACATTTATCTCAATTCTATTTTATTCTTAGTCTATATTCCATCCAACATTAAAGGAGATCATAAATCATGACGCCATAGATGTAGTACATTAAACAAAAGAAAGCAGATTTGACAACATATGTATTTGTAACAAAAAATAGATGGTATACTTATCTGAAAACCTGTAAAAAGTGAGTTATAACAATGTGGAAATAATGGGACGATCAAGCTATAGATTTCATTTTATTCTAGGCTATATTCCAACATTTTCCTCGATTGCATTTTGTTCTATGCTATATTCCAACATTTACCCCAATTCCATTTTGTTCTAGGCTATATTTTGACATTATATTTTATTCTAGGCTATTATTGCACTCATCATGATCATCCCGGGTGACATCGGGAGCTTGATTGACTTCTTTAGCTTCACAGCTTGGCTGTTCTATGGTGGAACTATGCTGGCCCTTATTGTCATGAGGTTTACGCATAGTGATGAACCAAGACCATATCAGGTAGTTTATGAATTAATGGATACTAGAAACTGTTGGCTTGTATTCGCGAATGCAACTAACGCCTGCATTTGCGAATACAAACTTAGTTTCTAATGTTGCTCTCAGAGCTTTCTTATTGGTAGAGTTCATATACAACAATATTGAAAGTAAAGTTATATTACACTGAATCAACCAGCTTGTTGTGAACTGAAACATAGAAACTGCCCACATTCAAATATGCCTAGATAAATGCCATTATGCCTTAAGCGAGAGCATCTGTTGCCATATAAAAACAAATTTAATCCAATTTACTTAGATAAGCAATGCTTATGATGGCAGGTGAGTCAACTTGTTTGCTAAAATTGTACAAAAACTATTTTTAGACAAGTCTTTTTGGCTAAAATTGAAAATCATGTTTATTGAAGTATATTTTCTCTTTTGCTTTACTTTTGACATGATAATCAACTTTACCTTATATCAAGTTTTAGAATCTGAATTTTCAACTTTTCAAACCTGGGTATGTCCATGTTCATTTTTGATAATTAGCATTTTATTAGTATGTATTTATAATACACAATAATATTTGCAGGTGCCTATAGTGATCCCTATCATCGTGCTTATTTTCTCCCTTTACCTGATTGTTGCTCCCATCATTAACAAGCCCCAGATTGAGTTCCTCTATGCCGCCCTGTTTGTCGTTGGAGGCCTCATCTTCTATTTCCCATTTGTCTACTTCAAACTTAGACCAGGATGCATGGGTAAGAAAAAATATATCACAATTGTATGTTATAAATTGCATGAAATTTTAAGTTGTTATATGCTGAAGACTTTAATTCTTTTATAAAAGTTGATCACAAAAAATGAATATTCTGCATGTTAATTTTAAACGTACATTCATATATTGGTTTTGGATAACATAAGTATAGATATTATCAAATCGATGGTTCCAAGCAACTCAGATCACTTTATTTTTATCTAAGTTATAAATTCCTTTCACTTTTGGATTTACCTCTTACCATGTATGCATTCTCTATAAAGGCAAAATATGATAATTTTACTTCATTATTTTTCAGATGGATTCACAGCTTTCTTTCAACTCCTCATGGAATGTTCTCCCTCAGAATATGAACCAGAATCTTGAATTACAACTTCAATCTAGCTGGTTCTATATCTCACCATGGAAACACAACTGAATGTTTGGAGAAACCAAAAGCTACCTAGCTGTAATATCTCTATGGAAATGTATCAGTTGATAGCTGTTCATTTACACCACTGTGGAAACTCAACAATTCAATTAACCCTATCTTGCAATTACATGTACATTATAAAGGCCAATGCCATTCATCCTAATATACAAGTTACTGAAGAAAATATAGTTTGCATGAGCTAGGAGAAAAAAACAAGTATAAAAGTCAAACCCAAGAGCAGGTATAATTTTGAGGACATCACCCACAAAATATTTACTTGGATTGGAAACACCTCTAAATTACCTATTATCTACTTGAACACATTCCTTCCTCGAATAGAATTTGCTTTTTCATGTTTCATAGTTTTAAAATGTATTTCTTGTTAATATGGCCAAAGATGGGATATAAAACATTAATACGGCATCCCAGAATATTTTAAATCTACATTTAGATGTAGGGATTTTTTTGTAAATTGAGGATGTATGCAACAATGGCATGAGCAAACTGTCAACTGAATTTTCAAAAATGATGTAACTGTTATTAATTTTTAGATGTTATTTATGCAAGTTCTGGCATATGTTTCTACTATTATTGTTTTCTACATTCCAATATCAAAGAAATAAAGTGTATCAATGCCTTTTAGGGGGTCCATGTTTCTGCGTTACCCTGTATATAAGCCACTTTGATCCAAAATGTGAAAGGGGCAATTGAAAATTTGGATTTGATGAGTTATAGAAATGAAAAATGGAAAAAATTGAATGAAATTGCAATCATATGAAAAAATGAATGCTTTAAAAAGAAGCTCAAACTTTTGTAAAATATTGAGGTGCTGTATAGTGTTAATTGTCAGTATATGTACTTGTATGTATATCTTTGTATAAATGCATAAATCTATTTTAGCTGTATATATATTTTTCAATATTGTACATGTTTTATACTAGTCTGTACTTTAAAATCAAGTCTGTAGATAGTATTAGTTCACTGAAACAAGAGGTTCAGCCAAAACATTGATGTAGATCAAAGTTTAATTTTTAATTTCATTTTGGAAGTGGTAAAATGACTTTTTTGAGATACAATCAATCATATATTTATTTTGTTTGAATAAGATTCCATTTACAGTTTAGATTTTCCTATGGGAAGGAAAAAATACAGAATTAATCACCTTTTTGTCAAACATCAATACTTTGATACAACCCCTTGATCAGCTAAACGCTGAATTAGTCTGAACAATAGTTAGAAGCTATTAGATTATAAGCAACTTGTATATTATATCGTATTACTTAGATATTATTATGAATTTTTATAAAGTTGATCAATTGAAGATTTTATACAAATGTACATTCCACATGTTATAAGGGAGCATGCTTGTTTACATTCAAATGTTCAGAAATATCTTAAACATTCCAATCAAACAATATTTATCAGGTGGTTCATTGTAATAAACATGTGGTGTGTCATGGCAAGGGAACAAAGAATGAAATGTGAAATGAACATATTAAGAATTTATGAATTTTCATAAAACAGGATTCATACGCCAGGAGATTTTGAAATTATTCTTGAAAATAAGCATGAGATGAAAGTAACTAATTAAACTTTCATTGAAAGTTGAAGCAAAAAATTCAAACTAACAACTCCTCTTTCATGCCAAAATTTCCCATTAATATGTTTGATTTTTGAATTTTATGGGATTACTCGTAAAAACTGTTCCTTTGTGGATTAAATGTCTGTGTAAGCATGCAATTTAAAATTTAAGATATTAAACATATCATATCATGTGTCATAATAGGTTCTAAACATCAGCTGTAGAGTAATAAATGATAAACAAAATTATGAACGATTATTGTTGAGTTATTTGTTGTGTATCTGAAAAAAGCTTAATTTGTGTATGATAGTGTTAAATTTATCATGATGCCCCTATCGAGGCACTTTACTGACAATAGGGATTTTTGGAAGATTACAATATCACTATTTTGCCTTTCTCCTGTATTCATAACGTTATCTTTGGAAGCTGCTAAAAGCCCCTACCCACCATTGTTGAAATTGATTTTTTCAATTTAATCAACTAAAATCCGATGAATCAAATTGGTTATATTTCAACATTAAGATAATTTCATCACTTATTTCCCCAATGAACTTCTACATTATTTTACATGAGGAAGAATTAAACATCTCAACCTAATGGGTCTTAAAATACATATCGTGTGTATGAAGTGAACGGTAGAAAAGCAAAATGTTTTAATTGAACTGAGTTATTTCTGTCATTAATCTAGTAGTAATAGAATAATAGAAAAAAACATTCTTGTAGAAGTGAAGTAATTTAAAATTGAAAAGGATTTAAGAAGTAATGAATGTGGAACTTGTCCTACTTGAGGTATATTTTAAGATTTGATAATTTCAGAAAAAAAGGTTCATGTTCAAGTCTATTGGTTGTAAGTTAGAACCAATGTGAATTAAATCTTTTAAGGGTTATTAGGATGTGCATTGCAGCTATATTTTACCCCTTTCATATGTCACATATGGAGAGAAGTACTCAACATAATTTTCATCATCCTCCTAACGCAGGGTTCCATACATCATCAACTAAGTTCCTTCCTTCTTCCAGAAGAAGAAGGAGGTACGAGTTCTGGAGGCCTATGCTCGAAGGATGAATTTTAATAAGAATAAAAACTTTTTTTTGTATACTGATGAATGAATAAGTTATTTTGGGCACTTTTAGAGGGACTCTAGTTATAACACAAGTTCCTATTTATTGTGACCACATAAATAAGTAATATCACATTCAAGGGGCATTTATTGCCCTGCATTTTACCATGGGCTCTGCCACCAATTTTGCCTGTTATAGCCAACTGAATAACTGGAGTTTTTTAATGATTTTATTTTCCAAATAGTTTTGTTGTTTAAGACATTATCTCACAATATATTCAGGAGACTGTATAAAGTACTAAAAATTCACGTATGGTTCATTACATTCATTGTAAATTCTAAAATACTACCAAAACACGAACAATGATTGATATAAAAGACTGAGAAGTTAAGTTAGATGCAATTTGGAGAACTTTGGAGAAAATGTGTAACATCATGACCCCCAGGAAATGTTGTCCACCTCTCAGTTGGTTTAAATGAGAACCTTACTACAACTATTTTCCTCACGACTTCATACTCAATTTGGCAAATAAGGCCAGTGAGGTTAAAGCAGATATGAAATGGTATTTTTAACCTAAAGGAATCAATATAATTTTTTGATAGATGTATTTGGACATGTTTTCTCGTCAGTAGTATGAAAACTATTTCACTCTAACGATCGTTATAGCTGCTTAATAAGCAATATTCAAATTGGTTGTGACGTTATTGGTCCCCACGTGATCTCTCATTGGTCCCCACGTGGCTCGTTTTGGTCCATTAGATCATGACGTCATAATGCCAAAATGTTTTCTTATTTATTTACACAACAATCCTATAGTTGCCGTGACGTTGTGATTACTATGGAACCAGTAAACCAAAGCTATATTTTGTATATGACGTTACTAATCACGTGGGGGCCAATTTGATTTATCAGTTAGTTTTATTTCGTTATCTATGACCGTTAGCAGTTATCTAACATTTCTTTTATGATGGCTACCGCAAGAACTCTACTGTGGGCTTACAATGGAGAAAACCGCATTTTTGTAGCTGCAAGTTGAGAAAAGCTATTTCAGTTGTCCTTTAAAATAGTCTGTGAGGGGACCATAATTTTACACATTTCCCGTACAAGTTCTTCAAAACAGTGCTAACTTATCTCCCAGTAATAACTCATAGTCTCTGAAATAATACATATCTTATGAGGGTACTTTCGTCTATGTAAAACCTAAGCATGTACTAAATTTACAACACACAGGAGATGAAACAGACAGAGTTCAAACCAATAAAATGCAAGCCTCTAATTCGGAAGTAACTTTCTAAGCTTGTATTTGCAAATGCAACTTTCAGCTGTCGGCTACCGGATTAACCTATTATTTTATGGGCAACTCGTTTAAAAATGAATAGCATCTATCTCCATTCAATTCATATTTAAATTAGTTGGTTATTAAATAATAGGTTAATCCAGTAGGCAACAGCCAAAAGTTGCATTTGTGAATACAAGCTAAATTAGAATGAGATCTTCTCCAATGAATACTATTTACACAATAAAATTCATGAAGATCTCACCATATTGAGAATGTTATCCCACAACAAGAAAGACAGAAGTTTGCATTTTTCAGATTATCAACTCAAACTCACTCTGTACAAGCATTGGATATTGGCATTACTCCTGCATCAAGTTAACAGTTCTACTCGAACATACATATTACATACATGTATGTTAGAGAACAAGGGGGGGGGGGGGGGCACAGAAGGGCTTGATGCAGGACTGAACATTGAGTTAAGTGATGTTTACAGTCATAAATGAATAATTTTCAAGTGATGTCAATGTTTTAATTGCTTGATAGAACTTCTAAATTGCTGAAAATTACATACTGTAATACATCGTTTGCAGTATTTGCCCCATCACTTACACATTAAATGGATCTGATGGGCTCATTTGGAAAAAACAATCTACATTTCCTACTTCTATTCACAGTTTTTGTTTTCTCAGACTTCATAACAGATTTTGATTGCGTGCCTTAATATCTTACACAACTTCTTTTAAAAAAGTCCCACCAGAACATAAATACATATCAATATGATATGAAATTGCAATGTAGATTACATTAATGTTTCATATCCAATATTCATAAATATTAAAATAGAAATTATGTATAATGCTCTAGCTCTATACATGAACATGTACAAGCCATATCATATAAATATAACAGTGTTTCAATGGAATAAATAATTCCATGGGGATATTAAAAACTGTAATTACATGAATATGTATCACTACAAAATGCATCAGGGACTCAAAAATGTATGTACATGTACATGTACAATATAGACTTTATATCAAGTTAAGTTACATTCATCAAGCAAACATGACTTGACTGTTTTGTAATTCAGAATGGTAAGCAATTATTATATAATACAACAGGTATAGGATACCACACTAATAAACAAGGCATTAACATGCAAAATGTCATCACCTGCCAATTGTTACAGATGCCAACAGGCAGTTTGCCAAACGTCAATTGGGTTGTGACATTTAAAGCTCATTCCTAAACCTATATATATCAAAATTTATTATAAAACTTCTAAAATTCAATTTTGCAGTTTGAACATTTTTTAGCATTGCATGAAGCCTCTGTAAACTCCCATGCAACAGACACCACAAGGTTGTTGGAGAAATTGGGACTTATGCAAGACTAAACATCTTGCTGAAAAGGATGTACAGTAAAACCTGTCATAATGGAACAACTTGGCACCTCTAAAAGTGTTCCACTTAGGTTTATTTCACCCCTTGAATCCCAGGCTCTAAAATATGTTGAAACCAGAGAATTATACAATTTTAGATGTTCAATTAGACGGCAGAGATCATTTCTACTCCTTTTAAATTGGATGAAAATTATTCAAATAAAAGCAATTTTAGTGAAAAATTTTGTGAAAATTTTTTTCATAACTCTGGGTTTCAAGGTCATTTCTGAGGTGACAAGAGGTTAACATAGTCAGTTGGTCTTGTGACTCTGAAAAGTGTTCTACTAACAGAGGTGTTCCACTTTTGGATGTTTTCCACTTTACAGGTTTCACTGTACAGTATATATGTACTTTACATTGCACATGCATGAGAAAATTACATAAAAATCTGAAAATTAAATGTCAAAATAGACCAAAACAATATGCCTATTTACCTATTTAAAAGATCTGAAACAAGGAAGTCTAGATCTAATGTACCAACAGGTTCATGTGTGTAATGTTTTATCCTATTTTCAACCAATACGAATTGTAATGTAATCTAATAAAGTATAAATTGAGAAAGACAAACTTTATGAGTTCAAATGGAATGGATGTCTCATCATGATTTATAGAAAACAATCTTGAGCTACTGCACAGATTAGCTTTTTTACATTATGAGGTTAACTGCAAAATCATCGAGTTTCATAAAAATGATGAAAAATGTCAAATAAAATTGTTTTACAACTTGACATATTGTTTAATTATTTCCTAGTACTATACCATATAATATAAGTCCACGTGTAAAAGATGCATCACAATTATGTCATAAATAAATCACATTTATGTCATATATTCATTTTATTTATGTCACCTATGTATCATTAATGTATCATAAATCAAAACAAATTTGTACTCATGATTTTTGAGGATAACAACATTACATGCCTTTAATAATAATTTATATCTATTATCTTTTAAAAGGAAATACCTACATGATTTTATACATTAGGTTTACACAGGTACCACAAATATTTATTTTGGCAAGATTATTTAGAAACTACACTGGCAGTGTCAAGGAAGTACTCACACAATGCAAACATAAAGATTGATTATAATAAATGCAAACATATTTAAGAACAATTATTTGTACATTATGTCATTCAATTAACCCTGTGATATAAGAGGTTGAGGGGTGAATCATTATATTCTGGGTAGTGCCGAGTGTGTGACCTTATCTTCAGCATTTTGAGTTTAGAACACCACAGATTTAATGATTACCCCTTGCTGAACTAAATAACAACATATTTAAAACACCCTGTTAACTGGCTCATATATAGGCCTGTAAGTTTTGTCTTCAATCAAGATCATGAATTTCTTAACCCATGCTTAAATTTACAGCATGGCCCTGTGTGTACTATATCATATAAGCTCATTTAAACAAATGTAACTTTCCACTCAGGGAGGGGCTCCAGTAGATGTTTTACTGATTCAATACACAAAAGGAGGGACTGTACCATATGCTCCAAATGATCATTGTGCCTGCTTCATTATTCATTATGTTGTATATTTATAATAATATATATACTGTAGGAACACCAATATACTTCTCAATTTGAAACTTTGGAAAGTCCACACTAGTTTTTCTAAAATTCTCGGTTTTTCTGGGCTGTAGAAAAAATCCTGTTTTTCCAGGCTCAATGTTTTAGAAATATATTAAATATATAGGAATACCATGATAAGGTACACTTGAGAATGACTACACAAACAATCCTCATATGAGATCTGTTTAAACCTGCACATTGCTCTAAAACGCAATATTTCGACATACATTTTTATATTTTCATACAGCCAACAAGATTACTATTAAGCTCTAGTGTACAGTTTGACATGATTAAAAACTGGCGACAATCGAAGCAATTCAAAGAACAATCCTCATAATTACACATTTATCGTGAGTATTTGTACACAAGATTTGTCCCATTTGTTCACCATTGTATATACTTAAATTTCATTAAAGCTCAAAATCTTACAGTTTGCCCTTGAATAACCCAAGATTGTGTTTTAGAACGATGTGCAGGTTTAAGATGTGATGACTGCTATATACATGTGGTGGGGTGGCAAACATACTACCACTAATTCAGCAAATATGTGCCCAGAGCTTAAAACATTTTAGATTTGCACTGCCCAAATGAAAAATTAAGAATACTGCATTTTATGCAATGCAACTTACAACAATTTTGTAGATAAATAATTTACAGCATTATCTGAAGTACTGGCGCACCAGGTGCACATTGGCATTGCATTCTGGGAGTAACTTAAAGCATTTCCATGGCAACGCCATGATAAACCTGATTCTCTTCTCCTGTTTTCCCCAGTTTTAAATGACTTGTCTTAACAAGTAATAAATTACTCAGTGGATATCATATAAAAATAAATAAGTAGATACGATCCAAAATGAAAACACCTCACATTTAGTCAAAATATAAAGCTCAGAATAGCTCCTTCATGCGATTGCCTAATCATAGCGATCACAGCCATTTCAAGTATGATTCCTCTTGATCATCCTAGTGGAGGTCCTTATCATATGTTATAACATTTTGATGCTCAACACACCTATTCATCTTTCAAATGTAGGATCTTCCGATAAAATGAACTTGGATTATATATCATGAAATTGCTTCCAAGGCTGTTCCTATAGTTTAAAAATGTATTCACAGCATACGCCAGATATTCTGGGATATAACACATAAGGCATTGCCATGTGACTTAAGTTTGTTGTCCAATGTTGGAGAATGACAGACTTAATTTATAACCTTTTTGACAGATGCATCATGCTTTTAGGTTCAATGTCATACATGATCTACATCACTTCTCAATGGTGTTGTCTCATGGGGATTTTCCCCAATATTTTCCCTCCTGTTGCTAGGCTCTTGTTGCCTAGGACTAGTATCAGTCTCCGTGGTAACATAAGCATTGGATTGTCTGGAATTTTGCTGATTAAGTCTCATTGCACTTTGCCCTTGATGATTTGCTGTAGATAGGTGCTCTTCAGATCTGGCTCTATTTGGGCCCCTTAATAAGTTTACATTTCCACCTATAGGTGGCGATCGTATAGAATGTATATTACCCATACTGCCACTGGGTATATGGGACACATCTTCATAACTCGGCAACATCTGGAATATTTATTAATTTATCAATATTATGTATGATCTTTAATCCAGTACATTTTGATAAGATCACAAAAAATATTGTTTAAGGGTCTTATGGACCATATTTTTGAATGGGTACCTTTCAGTGAATATTAATGGTTGATGAAAGGAAAATACTTCTTTGTATTGAGTGTCAATATAAATTAGTTCTCAGTGAATCAATGATGAAGCAATTTTACAAATACAAACCCAAACCATTTTTTCAATGATCTTGAAAAATCATACATACACATATATATGACAATAAAGTTATAATGATTATAAAAAGAGGATTGTAGTGTAAATGCTCATTCAGATATCAGTAGCTGAGAAAAGGCTGGAAGGATACAAACAGAGACAGGCCATCAAAATGAAATAGACAACAGTTTATAAATGGCATTACATGCTCCTGAGATAATAGAGAGGTTTCGCACAACAGGTTAGCTAAAACGTATCCGCATCCGTATCTCGTTACGTTTACGGAAACGTATTTCGATAATTTTCGTTTCGCAGTTCGTTTTTTGAAGTACGTAATTATAAACGCATCTCAATCCGTGTTTAATAGTAGTGAAAACTAGGGTCAAATAAAAGAATTCATCAGCACTAAGATTTCAATACACCATTGCGAGTGTCAGCTTTCAGAATCACAACTACAAAAGTATTATTGGTGAATGCAAAAATACAAACTAACCCTTTCATCCCCAAGGGGTCATTTATTAATTTCATGAAATCAATTTCAAAATGAAGAATATCCCTTAGGCCAGAAAAGATAATTTCTAGGTTCACAATAACCAATTGTTTGTCAAACTATACTTTGGGGAATATTTAAGGGTTTGAACACAGATAGGCTGAAATAGTGGTCATTAAGTGAAGTGCAGTGACTGCATTATGCTACAAAATGCGTAAACATTTCTGTTTTCGGTAGAAATGATATTTGATATTTCAAATTAGTGTTTACATTTGCGTTTACTTATTTTTTCCTGAGAATATTAAAAATGCAGCAAGTGCGTTTTGACTTAACATGAAAGCATGCACGCTTGACGTAACATAATCATATCCCTTTTGACCTCATTATCTTTTTTAAGTATGCTTATCAATGCTATACTAAGTTCCGAAGGAGCACACGCAATCTAAACAAATGCTATAAGTGATTCATTATGTCATATCAAGCTTGAGTGAAATCCATCCAGCCAAATATTTGACCTCTATTGCAACACCTATTTACTCATACAGCATCTTTTTATTTCACTGAAAAGTAGAATTCCTTCTTAAGCATTAGCATATTGTCTATTATGGAGTGATTCCAATAAATAGTTTCTTAGACATAACAAACCATATAGGCATTCGTACCCTTGCCCAAGTCGGTCTCTTACTTATCTTGATTTCTATCCCATGGTGAAAGATATGACCGTCTAAAATCACTTCCCATACTGCACATGGACCTTTAATTTCATGTTTTTACAGCTGTATATTTTGGTAATACTTTAAGATCAGATAAGTAAAGAAATCATAGAAAGTGACACAAATATATCATTTATGCAATAAAAGTACATCTCCCCTGTTTTGTATGAAAAATCAACAAAAATATATTATATAAAAAAGGTAAATTAGCATTGCTTTTCTTGGATTCATAGAACAACAGGAGACCCCCTCATCAGAGAATCAGAGAACGACGCAAAGCTAACGCCAATCATACCAGTTGAATATCTCACACAAGAGATTGCATTATATATGAATACATGTAGGTACCAAGCCTATAACATACTAATAATGTGTACAAACATTATTATACTCTTTGATTCTACCCTAAATATACCAACCAACTGATATACCAACAACATAATACCCTAAACTGGCCATTTGTATCTTAACCCAATAACACCACAACTCGATCAAACACAGCCCGTAACACGACATATATAACCTATTACAACCAAACACAACCTAGGTCATTAATCATACAACAGTACAATAGAACATAACCCAGTGACAACATACACAGAACGCAATAGAACGTAACAGAGCATAACCCAGCACCAAAGCCAGTATAGCGCACAACTAACTTACTCCAATTGGAGCAACGCCAATCACACAACACAATCAGACAGAACCAGATACCTCGTCCGACTAGCTACAACCAGCTACCCAACCAACATAACATATTCACAAGAGAACACAACCCATTATAAAATTAACATAACACAATGGGGCACAACCCATTACTAAATTACCAGACTAACAACCATCAAAAAACAACCGACTCTCAAACTGACAACACAATTCGGCAATATCTACCTGAAAGTAACCCACCATTACGCAACCAGGCTCAAATAAATACTAATCGATTTAATCAACCCATTAAAACACAGGCACAACCAATAAACCACAATGAAACGTTGATACCGATATACTTAACTAACATATTCCAACAGGAGACAGCCGCAAAACACAATCGGGGACAACCCGATATCTTCTTGAATTACAACCACCCCCCTTTCTCTATCATCACAAGGCTGATGAAGAACATATCATGGACCACCACCCTACCGTGACCTATATATAAGGAAGAAGGTCCGTTACAGGATCAGGATGTCAGGCCTTTCTTTAAAAATGAAAATAGGAAATGACACGTCAATATCATCATTATATGATCAACTAAATATACTCTACCTGTCATATAATCACTGGGCACTAAGGCTTTAGGGAACTAGTCTCCCTGGTCCCCCAAACGAGACCGCTTACTATTTGACACAGATTGCATGACTTGATGCGTGTTCAAGTCATACCAGGGGAAGAAGCTCCCCTGGCTAGAAAGTTTATGATCATCCTGAGCACTTTTCGGGAGTTCTTTTAGCCAATTGCTAAAAAGCTCCCCCTTGGCAAAAGCTGGATACGGGACGCCACCTTTAGACCCAATATCACATTCATAGTCGAGGTCAGGACCAAGCTGCTATACTCAAACAAGTCCAAAACCCTGCTCTATATGAATTTAGAGCGTGACTTAGGGCACAAAATATAAATTCAGGTGGCCTTTATAGCTTCTAACCACTGATTTGATGGCCCTAAGAAATTGACTACGGTATTGCTATTGACCCTAGAAATTATAGACCGTACGGCTGCCTACCAACAAATATGACTAAAGCTTTATTCGTAAAAAGTGCAGGTCACCCACTAATAATCAAATTTATCGACAGATAAGCCTATTATTTCATCAAAATTAGCACGACATGCATCATAACATATGTGGGTTACTGAAATTGTACATTTAGGAAAAAAATTATCAAGATTTGAAGGACAATATAAATACGGAAACAACTACGCACAGAAAGCGTTAGTTTACGTACTTTCGGTATTGCTGTCGGCTAGACAAACGTATTGAGTAAACTTTTTCTCCATCGATACGTTACGGAGTTTGATACGGGTAGCTAAAACACTGTGCGAAACATGTACACTGTATTTATTGCGATACCATTCCATACAGTGTAAAATGAATTGAACATACCATTTGAAAAACTCGATTTATGTCAAACAATAAACAAATTCATCCACCAAAAAGTCAAATTATAAACAACACACTGTGCTTGTTCATATAGTGATACCATTAGAACTAAAATCAATATAATCGAAGGATAAAATGGGATAAGTAAATGACCAACGTAGAAAAGCCTCATTTTTCGTGTTTTCCGTATCGCTTCACGTATAAATTGAACTGACTACGCATAAATCTGGTAAATACGTTACGGATACGGATCCGTTGAGCTAAAAATCGTTTTGCGAAACCTCTCTAATACAACCATTTACTTTGATTCCACTAAAAATCAAATTTTTTCACTGACAGATTTCAATTTATCCATTCAATTCTAACTTCGGGATTATTTTTACTGGAGTTTCTTGCCCCTCAATTCAGCCCCATAGATACTCACACTGTCCCTATTGACAGGCCTTGACTGGCCTGGAATTCTATATCTGTCTGTAGCCACCACCTCTGTGTATGTGGGTGGTGGCTCGGGTACTGGCGGAGTTGATTCTTCAGTTAAAGGACCTATCCCAGCATTCCCTGAGAATGTTGTCAGTCGAACACTGGAATCTAAATCTGAAACATAATACAGTTAGTACAGCTGTGGCTGATCGGTTAGCAAACAATTCTGTTGTTGTGTGAAGGAAGTCATTTAACCAGCAGTTTTGGAGCATTATTAACTTTAAAGCACATTGAAAAATGTAAAAAGACCTTCTTGAGTCTCAAAATAAACTCAGTGCTACATAATATATAATATATAAACAAAAAAGGTATGCATCAATTTTAATATCACTAGTTAAAATTTACAATAATTTTATTCTTAAGTCATCATGGTATTTTCAAAAGACTGTACCTTTATGGAATACTATTTTTAACAGATCACATGTAAGCATAGGTTCAATATAAAAACATTTCAAAATTGGCAAATCAAACTCATATACCATTGTCATAAGTACAAACTTGTTAAAATATAAAAAATATAAACTCAAAATCATTACTGTGTTTCTACAAGTTCTACTGTACAATACCTACAGACTAATGCTATAATACCTATTGCATGGGGTCCAGCTGTTGCAACAATACCACGGTTGCGGTTATTGGTAGTTTGGCGTTGTTTGCAACAATGACAGCAAATGAGAAAGCAGACTATAAAAACCAAAATAACAGCTCCAACGATGATCCACAGCACGCTCGTTCCACCATCAAACAGCTCTTCTACAGGCACAACAACAACAACAATGGTTAGTTCTATATAATACATACAAAGCATGATAACTTATCAAACTTATTAAGCACCGGACTAATCAGTCCATTTGATGCCGAGACGGCACAGAAATTTGGCACCTAAACGGCGTCAAAAATCAGATTGCATTTTGGGGGTGTAGATCAAACGTGACTCAGACATTTAGCAAATTTCCAAACCCAGTTGTGAAATCGTAGCTTATTTCAAAATATATTTATCAGATCACACACAATATTTGAAACTTAGTCATATATGACCTATCCACTTAAGAAATGTCGACATCTTGTAAGTTATTGAAAATTGTTACAGACGCCAAATGCAAATTGATACAGACATCGAACTCCGACCACCAAACAGCACCAATGAAAAAGTTGGAAACTATAACAATATGTCACCACCTCTGGCGATGATATAACAAACAGAAGCTATAATTGCACTTTCGGTGGCTAAATTCATAAAGATAGTCAGGTAGCCAATATAGAATGGGTAGTCCTGCATCCGAGACACTTTATCTTTATCACAAGCTGTACAAAGAACTTAAAACACAGAGAACTTTTGTTTGAAACTTTAGAATCTGATCTGAAACAGTGCAAAGATCCAGATAAACTGTTTGAAACTATTATGTCTAGTAAAAGCTCTCATGTTAACTTACATTTAGCCAAATTTGTATATCACTCTTTTAAAAATTTGGAAAATGATTAATATTATGTAAACATTTTTTTTAAACACATGTATTATGGATACACCACACTGATATCATACCCTGACATGTGAAACTGATGTAAAGTAGTTTTGTAGTATGAAGTTGTAGTTTGTAGTTTTTTGTACACTGTAGTGACTGATATGTCATTTACATGACATGGTTATTGAGTCAATAAAAGATATATATATATCTCCATTGTCTCCCTCTCAGAGTGAGGATGGCAATGAGAGCCTTGAGGCAAGACTACAGAATGAGCCAACTAATTCAGCTATACTCAAAACACAAATGGGTTCAACTGAGCTCAACATCTCCAATGAGAAATTCAGAGCTAGACACTCGACACACATACCAAAAAAGGTGGACCAGACCCACCTTGAATTGATCTGAAGGACGAAAGTCAACCTCTGTCTACTCAAGCCAAAGCCGGGTTTAATGCGAATGTGATCACTGAATTTTACTTCCCAAAGACAACAACAATATATCATACCTTCAAATTAGGAAAATATAAATAAATAACAATTTTGACAATGAAATGGTATGACATGGGGGGGGGGGGGGGTTCTGTGATACATGTTTGTGCATGGTTGAGCAACATGTTGAAGCAATTATTCATCTGATAGGAATCAGCCAATTGTGAATTACGGCATTCTCCATAGCATTTTGCTGAAATCGCAACTAAAGTTAAAATCATAAAATGCCTGCAATTAAAAAAAAATGTCTTGTCATTTTCAATTTTTCTCTGATGAAATATCAGATGACTCGAATGCTCTAGATATTCATCATAATTATGGATTAAAATTGGATGCAATTTCTGTTTTCATGAAAACCAATCTTCAACATTGGCACCCAGCCTATAATGAATATATTGTTCAAATTTGAACAGAATACTCATCGACATTGCGCTCAGCGTACTGGAAATCGGAGCAAATGTGATCATGACATAACAGAAACATGTAATGCAGGGAGTTGAACGTCAAATAAGCTTGTGATTTCATTCATGAGAGAAAAATCACCATGACAAAAAGTACAACGTAAAGCTATTAAAGTGAATCAACCTCTAACTCTGGTCCCAAAACCAAAAAATTCAAAATCACGAAAATTTGTAACTTGCATTATGAATGTTTGTAAAAATCACTAATACCTTGCTTGGTATGCTTTATGAACATTGAGAACCATGTACTTTATCATCCTCCTAACCAGGTGTCCAGAATCCGTACCTCCTTCTTCCCCCTGCTATAACCGATTTGGAAGCGCCTGATTCAACTGAATCACATGATCTAATTATGCGCAATGACTTATACATGATTTCTGTTGCAGTGTTGCGACAGCCAATCAGATCTTGAGTTCTTAATCAGGGAAATGCTGCTTATCGCAGGGGGTAAAAAGAAAGAATATATTCTGGATTTTGAAGCCCTGTGATCGGAGGATGGTACTTCATAGATTTTGGAACTTTCATCAATAATGTAACCATGTTATACCGGGGGGGGGAGGGCATTAAATTTGAAGTTGACTCACTTTAATGAATAGATTATGCACTACATTCCGACTCTAACAAGCTTTTCAAACCTTGTCCAATAGGCTCCGGTCTTTGCCCTGGTGTTGGTATATTATGTTTACAGTACTTAATATAGCCTATTACGATACAAGGGGTCGCAACAATTACACATATGAGCACACCAAATATGGTTGGTAGCACGTCATTGTTGAACCATTTCTCTTCCCTTTGACCTAGATAAATATGTTAAAGGTAAAATAAAATTTTACTGTCTGGGGGGATATTTAAATAGAGGTTGATTCACTTTAATTAATAGACCATGCACTACATTCTCATCCTAACAAGCTGTGTGTGTATGCATGTACAACATGTACATCAAACCTTGTCCAATAGGCTCAGGTCTACGCCTTGGTCTCTGTATATTATGTTTATAGTACTTAAAACAGCCAATTATAATACAAGGTGCCGCAAAAAATGTTAGCACACCAAATATGATCGGAAGCCAGATTTCCAACATGTCCTTGCGGAACCCTATGTCTTCTCTCGGATCTAGATATTCAAAACAGCAAATACATCAGGCTAATTAGTTCTCTCCATTATACATGGACAATTTACATGAACATATATAACAACAATGATGTAAGTAGAAAGACCAGTAGGATTTGTCAAGATATGAACTTTTTTTTTTTTCTTTTTTTTTCTTTAAAATAAACGACAAAATATATACATAATATTTACAGTGTAGAATACATAATCAAATACACAATTCAATAATTGAAATAAAGTGAATTGAATTGAAAATGAAATATTTTTCAACATGTTCAAAAATCAATCAGAATTAAAAATAGGAACTCGGTAAATTCAGTTTATGGTTGGATTAACCATTACAATCCATTAAAGTCCATTAGTTCAAAGAACTGTTTTGCGTCTTCTATTTCATAGAATGGTCTGAAGGATGTATTTTCAATTTTCTGAATGCCCCGGCCAGCGCTAATTACAGAGAATACGGTAAGCCCCGTAAAAAGATTAAAGTTAAAACATTTACGTTATTTAACTCATGCTTGTCAACCTAAAGTGGTACAAATAGTCCATTTCACCTTGATGAAACGTCAACGACAGAATGAATTAATAATTGTTAAAAATATTTTTGCCCCAAAATAAAATGAAAAGAGGGCAGCCTTACCAGCGGAGCCACAATTACTCTCATCCATCCCATTAGCGCAATCCTTTGAGCCATCACACTTCTGATGACTGAAGTAACAGTCAACATCATAGTAATCATTAACGTAACAAGATTTCTTATTGAGGGCTTTACAAGCTGAAAAGAGAATCAGATCATGAATCATTACCTTCTCATCACACTTCTCATTCTGTGATTAAACAGGTCACACGATATATAATATGTACTTTGATATGACCCTTGTGCTTTAAGTGCAGATACTAGAACCTCATTTTACAGAAATACTAATGACGCTAAATGTACTAAAATGTTAATCCCTTTGAGACTAGGGTTGGACAAGGTTTATGCCATTAGCTAATAATTAAAGGTATATTCCTTGCCATTTCTATTTTGATATGGTAAGTATAATCATGTATACATGTATACTCTCCATATTTAGCAAACCACAGGACAATATTGTAATTTAGTCCATATTGATCATTTAGAAATGTGGTGCTCATTTCCAGTAAACTGCCATCTTTTAAGATTTCACTCAGGAAGTGATGTCATTGACTCTCAACTTTCATAACCTTTCATATAACAGTATAGGAAAGTTGCACAAAATCACTTCTAGACAAGTGGTTCTTACTTTATGTGGAAAAATATTTTCAGAGCTTGTCAGCTTAGAACAAAAGAAGAGAATTTTAAAAGGATTAAAGTATAGACTAAATTGAAAAAGAATATTCAGCTGGATGTGTAATTCTTAATAGCTCCTTATCTATTTCATATATGCAAAGTTGAGAGTCAATGACATCACTTCCTGAGTGAAATCTTAAAAGATGGCAGCCTACTGGAACTGAGCACTACATTTTTAAGTGATCAATATGACCACATCAAAACATTTTTCTGTGTTATGCTAGACATGGAAAGTATGTATATGGTCAGATGGTTATAGCTACCATATTAGGAGAGACATCGTCTGACAAGGAATGTACCTTTAAATCAGAGACTTGGCATCAACTACTATAAGCATGAAAAATTCAACTTACTGCAATCTTTTTCATCTTTTCCATTATAGCAATCTCTTTTATTATCACATCTCTCTGCCACAGTGTAGCATTCTGTCTTTTCATCATCACAATACTTTGCCTTCCTGCTTCCCCCACAGGTTACACCTAAAACAAGGGCATTCATAATTCTATTGATAGGCATTTAATACTCTATTGAAAGGCATTCAATCTTTTGTTGAAGGGAATTCATAATTCTATTGATGGGTATCTAATATTCTACTAAAAGGCATTCAATCTTTTGTTGAAGGGCATTCATAATTCTATTGATGGGTATCTAATATTCTATTGAAAGGCAATCAATCTTTTGTTGAAGGGCATTTATAATTCCATTGATGGGTATCTAATACTCTATTGAAAGGCATTCAATCTTTTGTTGAAGGGCATTCATAATTCTATTGATGGGTATCTAATATTCTACTAAAAGGCATTCAATCTTTTGTTGAAGGGCATTCATAATTCTATTCATCTAATACTCTACTAAAAGGCATTCAATCTTTTGTTGAAGGGAATTCATAATTCTATTGATGGGTATCTAATATTCTACTTAAAGGCATTCAATCTTTTGTTGAAGGGCATTCATAATTCTATTGATGGGCATCTAATATTTTATTGAAAGGCATTCATAATTCTATTCATCTAATACTCTATTGAAAGGCATTCAATCTTTTGTTGAAGGGCATTCATAATTCTATTGATGGGTATCTAATATTCTACTAAAAGGCATTCAATCTTTTGTTGAAGGGCATTCATAATTCTATTGAAGGGTATCTTATATTCTATTGAAGGGCATTCAATCTTTTGTTGAAGGGCATTCATAATTCTATTGAAAGGCATTCAAATATATATTATTGAGCATTTCAGTAATGAATAGTTAGTAAAGTATACAGGATGGTATATATTGATGGAGTAAAAAACAGAAATCAATCAATATTTTCATGATCATGCTAGTAACCTATAGTGTTTCCTGTGCTCTGTTTTTCCAAAATATCGATAATATGAGAGTATCATTGAAGGCACATCTTCAAGCATAGCTTAACTCGAGGATATGAATATCTGACCAGGTCAGAGTCTTCAAACAGGACTTGTGGTGTAGCAAGATTAAACTTCACAGTAAATGGTAGACGGATATGGTTTGATAATCATGTTTCAGGGAGAGATCTTGAAGTAAATCAATCAACCCACTTATAAACCAATGTATACTGACTATATAATAAAGGCGTTTATTGAACTATTGTAAGCATCTGTATTGCATCCTATGGAGTGCACAATGAATCTCACTAAAATGTTATTGGAAAAGTGATGACAAAATAAAGCATTTAAATCATGAATATTCTATTTACCCAATATCATGTTTGAGAAATTTATATGATCATTTCTTATACAACACACGAGGATGGATATAAGTGATTTACTGGATACCATTTTTATGTCTGCGTTTGCTGCTTGTGGCATATTTGGTAACGGGATGATTATCATAGCGATTATATATGACAAAAATCTACGAGTGAATTCAAATATATTTACGGCTAGTATTGCATTAGCGGATATATGCATGCTATGTATCGTGAACCCCATTGGAGTGCACAATGTTGTTATGGGGAGAAATACTCTATCTGATGTTCAATGTGTTTTCAACGCTGTAGCGATAATAGTCACATGTGGTGTCTCAATCAACACATTAGGGGTGCTTGCGATGAATCGCTACTTTTATATTTGTAATACAAAATGGTACAAAATCTTATTTACACGAACTAAATCATTCATCATCGCTTTTGCAACATGGGTGTATTGCGGATTATGGATCACACCCGCATTTTACGGCTGGACTCAAATCATTTATAACGACAAAATGCAGCTTTGTATTTATGATCAGACATATAGTCTTAGCTATACATTTTTGCTAATGGCTATTGGCATAGGGCTACCAGCTACTGTGACACTTATCAGCTATACAAAGACGATCACAGTTATACGTAAAAGTGCAGCTTCCGTAAAAAATCATACCGATGTCAAAAATGTTTCAAAATCGACAAATGATGCAGCTAAGAATAAACAAAAACAATTTCGACAAGTTTTGGTATTCTTTTTCGTTTCTATCTTATTTCTAGTGTTCTGGTCACCTTATGCTATAATCTCAGTGCTGGACTTTAACGATAGCATTCCACCTTGGATGATTCGATTAGCCACACGATTGGCCGATTTAAACTCATGTGTTAACTGTGTTGTATATGGAGTCTTAAATAAACATTTTAGATCTGCATACAAGAGAATTTTATTTTTCTGGAAACGGAAAAGTGTATCAAAGGATGAGGAATTTAGTCAAATAACAAGGACTGTGAATATCAAAAATGCTGAATATGTGGGGCATAAATGAAATCAACAATTAGTTATTAGGATCCTAGGCTAGTGGATTGATTATTATTAGGGTAGGAGTGGGGGGGGATAACTGATCATAATATGACACACGGAGGCTTGTAATAATTACTTGATGAAGCTCTCCTTTAAAGGATAAAAATAATGTATAAAAAATAGTAAAAGGTCATCGCCACAAAGTGTTAAATTGAAGAGAATCTATCCACCCTTGGCCCTAGAGTAATTCATTGCGTTTCATTATCTGTTATGAAAGCAGTGAAGGACCGATCTTGAAGGATGAATCTATCAATATTCTGATCATTCTTTATTTGTAAAAGTAAAACTGAATTGGCATATTGATTGACTTTCCAATATCACACAACTAGAACGGCTAAGTAAACAAATCCATAAATCCATATTTAGAATATTTAATTTCCCCTATTTCATTTCAAAATACCAGATTAATAAGAATCATAAACATGACTTGTTGCCACCTTGGAAAAGGGCAGACACCAAAGGTTGGACACAAAACTGAACAAGGCATTAACATGACAAAATGTCACCCACCTGCAAATGGTTACAAAAGTGTATCAAAGTGTGACATCAAAAAGCAAAAAAAACAAACAACAGAAAAGCTTTCATCAACGTAAATGAATAGACATACATACCTCCAGGGCATCTGAGACCATTTGCAACGCATATCCCATCTTCTGGACATCCATGTGACCGATAACCCAAGTTCCTACATTCCTGACCTAGAAATAATAAAAATACAGGACATACTATTAGCCTAAAGACTAATTAGGGTAACATTACTAGAATGTCAATTAATTAAGAATTCCTGATGTCTATTTAATAGTTTTATTAGTATGACATCATGATGTCCATTTAATAGATCTATTACTATGTCATTATGATGTCTAATTAACAGTTCCATTACTATGACATCATGATGTCTATTAAATAGTTCCATTACTATGACATCATGATATCCATTTAATAGATCTATTACTATGACATCATGATGTCCATTTAATAGATCTATTACTATGACACCATAGTGTCTATTCAATAGTTATATTGGCATCATGATGTCTATTTAATAGATATATTACTATGACATTATGATGTCCATTTAATAGATCTATCACTATGACATTATGATGTCTATTTAATAGTTCTATTAGTATGACATCATGATGTATATTTAATAGATATATTACTATGACATCATGATGTCCATATAATAGATCTATCACTATGACATTATGATGTCTATTTAATAATTTTATTACTACTTTTATACTCCTTGTTAGCACGAGATGATACAATTAATGAAACAATTGGTGAATATTTTACAAGAGTTCATAATATTACCGAAGAGTTATTAAATAAAATTGATGTGAAATCATTTTATGCTACTTAGTGCTTATTAAAAAAATTAGATTGCAATTACTATGTTTTACCATGCATGTGCATGAATGTTTTATTTGTTATTTGCTTTATTGGACTTATATCTCGATGTACCTTAAATGTGTTCAAGAGACCAATAAAGTTATTATTATATTCCTGAGACATCATGATGTTTATTTAATAGTTCTATTACTATGACATTATGTTACAGTTCTGACTTACATATCTATTATATTTACATTAAGTTTCGTTTATCAATATGCATATACTGTAACTGATCTTTGTAAGAGAGCTCAGGTCAAGGTCACAATGACATTATATCTTGTAAACAAATTAATCTTTGGCCTTCTAGAAAGTACTGAAACTATAATCATTTAAGCATGTGACTTAAGATGTCCAATCAGTGTTGTTTTCTAGAAATCGTAACATTCTGAAAACATCTGGACTTTGCCTTTGTACTATATAATGAGAGAGCTGATTTGAGCTGGCAGCAGAACATCAAAATCATTTAATAGGACACCTACTCTCAAAACATTTATAACGCTACAGACATACCTGAGGACTTTAAATGGACATATATTATACCTGACCACTCATTATTGTTAAGTGAATTCTTGACTGAAACGTGTAATTTCTCTGATTATGATAATTCTGATTCTACATGTAATCATGCAGGTTGATACAAAATATAGATTTGATTTGATAACCTACCTGAAGTGAAAGTTTTATGCATGATGATGAATGTCTCAAACAATTAAATGATACAATTAAGCACATTGAAAATTCATTAGGTATACTGAATGATGTAAATGATGCATTTTGTATATTTGAAAAATTTGTAAACACTTTTCTAGCCTTTTGAAAAAGTTGCAAAATTTTTTGGCACACCCTGTATAATATTTAGGTAGTCCATATTTTACAGTACGCACTTAGAATATTACTGAGTTATTAGTTATGCTATTAAAAATTAATATTGTATGCAACAAGTGAATTCATTCAGTGACAAAAAATTGCAAGAAAAAGGAGAGGACCATCCCAATCATCAAGTCCAAGAAACAGCAAAAATCAATGGAAACTAAGACATTTCTCTGAATATCTTGAGTTAACAAAAACATTTAACATTCATAATACACCAATGACACTTAAAGAGACTGGTGAATGCGTGTGCAATTTTCAAATAAATAAATATATCTGATGTTTTCCGGTGGTTTATTTCATGACTCGGGAACATCAATTAATTTTGATTACTCCAATTGTTTTATAAATACTGATCCGCAATAAATCAAAGGGGCATCAAACCACGAATAGTAGAAAGGCAGGGAATAGAATCACATGTTTAATTGTTTATTTTGCTGTGTCGGTAACAGGAACGTGCCTATGACATCATACACAAAAGAAAGACAGGGCTCCTCCAAGGAGGGGTTTCTGGCTCTGTCTTTGAGTGTAAAATACGTAAAATAGGGAATATACCAATAAGGTACTGGTCACGAAATATGACAGGAACCAAGATACAATACAAAAAAAAACAATACTTGAAAAAAGTACAGTACTTGCAATACTGCAGAACATGTCATTTGGTAGTTCCCATTTTACAATACTCATGATAAATTTAAAACAGTGCACTTACAATCAGTATCTGATTCATCATCTCCTCTTGGGCAGTGGTTTGCTCCATCACAGAAGAAGTCCCTGTGTATACACATTTCTGACCTCCTGCACAGTTTGCCATGAGTGCCATCTATCTGAATTCTGCAGTTCACTGGAAACACACAATGATTTCCATGGAAACACAAAATGTCACTATGGAAACATACCATGATTTCCAGATTTCCATGGAAACACACAATGATTTCCATGGAAACACAAAATGTCACCATTGAAACATACAATGATTTACAGATTTCCATGGAAACACACAATGATTTCCATGGAAACACAATGATTTTCATGGAACAACACTGTGATTTCCTTGGATTTTCATCAAGAGAGGAGTGGGGTAAAACTGCCCATTTACTTTTTATAATAGCATCTGTTTCTTGTAACTTTGGGTAAGATTAGATTGAGAGAGAGATCATATAAAATCTATTGAGAAAATCATATGATACAGATCCTTTTAATATTACAACAATATGTTTAAGAAATTGCCAAATAACTTACATGGATTAGAAGTTTGAGTATAGGAGACATATGTTAAGGAAAACACTGTCTCGTCTTTGGTGTACACCATAAGTTCAAATTCTATATATAAGCGCACATAAAATCCTATCCTTGAATCATATTTATTAGCCCCGTGACTCAGAGCTGCAACTGGAGATTCTGATGTAAGACCATTCCTGATATCTAGCTTACGACGTTTTATTGCAAGAAGGGTTTCTAGTCGCATTGGTGGAAAAGTAGTACTGAGATGCAGGTAGGCTTTGATTGGGCTTGGGCGAATCACCCATATGCACTCAAGTTTTGAAATTCCGTGTGCTGGATTTTTATTCTTAATCGACAGTGTTCCGCCTCCCTTTACTGCCACAGCATAGTTATCACCACATACTGAAAACGTGAGACTCAAGCTTATTTGTCTTTATTTCAAATGATTTCTAATTATTGAGAGCATTTAAACAGGAGACACATGTCTTCAATTAATGTACACACAGTGAATAGATTTTCTAGTATAAGAGTTGAGCATTCAATCATTGAATGGGTTGACTCACAACGATGCTTGTCACACTGTTCAGTTAGCCAAAAACAACCAATCAAAATTGTCTGTCCTTATCAATAAAACGTATCAGAAACATTTTCTCATTGAAATCTACTTTTTTACTGTATTTTGCAGTTTAAACAAGTTGTAAATGGCTGCATTTACTTACAAGATCTGCTCCTTATTGTGGTGGGAACTTCTATCTTCCTCGAAGTAGAATATTGGACTAAAAATTAATAAAGGGAAGGTTTACATCCAAAAGGTCGTACACAATGAAAACCCAATACACAATGAATAGATGATGATACAAATTAACAATCTTTTCTGTAATTAATGCAGGGGTTTCATTAGCAGCAGTTAACAGGCGATTTTCACTGGTTTTTCACAAAACCACCTATTGTTTTAAGGGACTTTTCAACTTTTCCATGATTTCCATTAATATTGCCTGTTGTTTTCATTTATTTAGCCTGTTGTGAGAAATTCTAGCGAAACCCCTGCTTTATACTAAGATGCAAAACCAGTGATTTTCAAAATATCTTTAATACAAAGATACACTTCTAGATGAATCACTTATTACTTTGTGATATAATGAGCGACAATTTTGTACACATGACCTTATTAGGTTTTCCAGATTTCTCATGAATTAGCTATTCAATTTCATTCAAGCTGTTTCGGTCAAGTTGGAAAACGCATTTTAACATTTCAAAATCTCCCAAAATTATTTATCAAGATCCAACTTACCTCCCAAAAAAGTGATCTTGACTTTCCAGCCATAGAATGTATAGTCCTCAAAATGCGGTGTGTGATATGATTCTCTTTCATCTTTAACTGCAAACTCCAGTACAATGTGGGGCTCCAAAAGTTCATAAGAATAATATGTTTTAGAGCCTGAGATCCCGCTTATATAATTTGGCGAACTAAAAACATATTTTGGATTTTCCTTGGGGATCTGACTGTTGTGATATATCTGAAATTGAAATATTATACAAGTGACTCATTTGATTATAATTCAAGAATCTATAATGCAGATGTGAGGAGGTAGTTACCAGTTTCACCACCAGGTGGCTCATTCGAGCTAGATAGCATGGCAGTTGAAGTAGAAAGTTCCCTTTAACTTAACCCTTTCACGACGATAGGCTCCATATGGAGCCCTATTATGTAATACCTTTCAGGACGATAGGGTCCTTTTGGCACCATTATTTTTATTTATATACATCAATGAAATGACAATATCTACAGTTCTATTCAGTATTTTTACACCAAATTTTGACAAGTTGTTCTTAACCTACTGCTCCTGCTTCTGAAACACTATATATATAACAAAGCTAAAAGAGACAAAACCAACAAGACAAGGTTTCACAAACTATTGTACTCTACAAATGAAGACAAACAAAGCAACAGCATACAGTCTAAGTAACAAGCAAGCTTTTATAAGTAAATGGGAGCTTGTGGAAAAAATAATTTTGCATCCTCCTTAACTCCTCACTTAAAATTAATTTTGGACTTTCCCCTTACCTGCCCTAGCCTCTGACATTATATTCTTCAATTCTTCAATGCTTTTTTTTTACTTGCAAAGTTATATAAGTTTCAATTCAATTAAATCAAAAGAATGATCACATGATCTAAAGACCATAAATGATGTAAAAACAATGCATTGTAACTAAATATGATATATGTAACTTTAAAATGAAATAAATTTAAAAAAAAAAGAAAAGAAAAAAGTATGCAATACTAAAAAAAAAAAAAAAAAGTTGTTCTTATGTGATAATCCTTACTAAAAATTGTATATCAGTGATGAAATCCAAGGTATAGGTCCCAGGGCATAGGTATTTTGCAGTTTTCCCCTAAAAAACACTCTTACTTATCCGTCACTGGGGACAACATTTTCCTCTTATATTCACGTCGGGAAAGGGTTAAATTACATCTGTTTCAGTGGTTCAATAAAACCCTTATGTATCTAATAGTTCTGCAAATTAAAATATGTCCAGTAAAAGAAAACATTATCTGTCAAATATAAGAAAAGATATTTCAATTTTTGTGATTTTGTAACATGGGGTCTATGGGGAATCAACCTAGAAGTCACATTTTCAAAAAAATTAAATTTTCAAAGTTGGGAAACAATTTTGGAAACCTTATAATGTACTTTTATATGTAGATTTCAAATATGACATCACTTTGGAATATTTAATGACGTAAATCAAGATTATTTCTACTTGCATCTAGTCTATTGGCATGTGTATCATTCATAAGCGATGCTCCCCACAAACTGTAGGACAAGAAAAGATTTCCACATCGATGAGGCAATTTTGGATTTTCCAAGTCACAAATCATAGAGAGGATAAAAAATTTGCTATCTTTTATAGAATACCGTGGATATTATGTTGAATGTGTTAAATCCTGCTTCTAAGCAGCCAATCTAGATTTTCAGAGGAGCAGATAAGAATGACAAAACAATATTTACCTTTGTTCACATGTATTCTAAATTCCGCTTGATTTAAGTAAAATATTATGGAGCCAAAATTCAGAAAAAATTAAAAAACTGTAAATGTTAATTTCCATTTATTGCCCCTTGCACAATATTGGACTGGCCCTGATGATGGCTATATATATATATGTTAAGACATATATTAGGCATTAGTGGGAAAATTACTTTGGTTTGAAATGAAAATAGTTTTTGCCATTTTTAAAGTGGTCAAAAGTGGAGTGAGGGCCAAAAATGGATATACTGAAATGAAAAGATTTTTGGCCATTTTAAAGCGGTGGACAAAAATGGATATGCTAACACTGACAGCTTTATTATATTATTGGGGGCCATTTACATAAACTTTGTAAAGTTAGGAATTCGTAAAGTCAATTGTTCACTAACTGTGATGTCATTATATCCATGGTAACAAAAATTGATTTACAAATTCCCAACTTTATGAAGTTTCTGTTCATGGCCCCATGACTATTAATCTTACCCTTATATTATCTCCTTCGTGAAGATCTGCATCAGAAAAGCGCACAACAATCACATAAAATCCTCTCCCTGGGGTCAATGTTTCACCCACAAAGTCAATCTTCCAGAACCTCTTCCTCTGTGAACTACGTGGATAAGGATTTGGGAAATTTTCTGATGTGATCGTCTTAGATCCTGCTTCGCCCAATGACACTGACACTGGGATCATTCGACCTGTCAAATAATATAACGATTAAATCAATTTTATCATTGAGAAAATGTGTTTTATCATCATTATTACAACTTGGAAGAAAATACTGGTTGAAATATTGCATGAATACATGGAAGCTAGTGACTTGATATGATAGACATTATTATTCCACAATAACATGTTTTCCCTGGGAAATAAACTGGGAATAAAATTGATATTCAAAAATCCTGTATCCGATCCCGTATCAGCCAAAATATCATATCAGATCCCGTATTGAATCCCATATCAGCCAAAATCCTGTATCAGAACTATCAGAAAATTTCATGAGACTTAATATAGTGTTGTTATGGCATATCATGATCCATTTTAGTATTAATAATTATTTTTATTTGAAAATTGAAATAAAATTCATATTCCATCCCTCACATTAAATAACCCCTATTTATTCATCGCCGGCAGAACCACAAAAATGCATGACTCGGATAGTATATTACTTCTGTATACACAATATTATATAACTGTCCTCAACTACATATGTTTATGTTATGTATGCCTTGTATCCCTTTACATTTATATCTCAGGGACAAACAAGAAAGTTTGAAATCTGAATATTAACTTGTTTTTGAAAGTTAATGAAAACAAAAAACATACTTTTAACTTTGTAACCGATGCTCCATTTCCTCCGTCTGTTATTATCATTATTGCTACTGAAGCAAAACTGGAAGGCAGTGGTTTTTAAATTGGAAAGATACGTCGTCCCAGTGAGATCACCAGAGAGCATAGTATTGGAATTATTTGGTCCTGGGATTTCTGGGCCACTACTGGCCTTGCCAATGATTAAATAACTGCATCTGGAATAATACGCTTATGCTTTATTTTTAGATTTATTCTCAAGAAACATTGAATCAATTAATCTTAATTCAATTTTATTCAATAAAATCCTTAGACGTTGTCACTAAAGAATTCAGTATTCTAAAGGTTGTGGTTTATAGTTTTGAACTGTGATAGAGATAGTGTGTATGTACATGTGATTTCTCCCCGCCCCCAAATATTTAGCTTTTGTTCAAATTGATTCACAGATTTTCATGTAGATGTGGAAAAAAAACTAAGCATTAACATGCAAAAATGCTACCACCTGCTATTAGTTACAGACACCGAATGCCAAACACCGACCATCAGACACCGTCCACAAAAAAGTTGGAGACTATAACAATATGTCAGAATGTGTGGTGGTGACACTGAACCATTGGTCAATTTCCCAAATTGAACCAGTGCATGTCAATAAGCTTTCCAAACTTATTATTTCAACACTGGGAGACCGCATATATAATATACTATTATAACGTATACTGTATACTCACATATCATATGAATCACAAAATGCTGCACTTTTATCAATACGTGGCTGAACGAACCGATGTTGGCAATTAGTAATATTAAAATCAGTGAAAGAGAACTCCAAATCTGACCATTCATTTGTGATCAGTTCAAGAGTACAATGACTTCTATATGCCAAGTGTTCACTGGGGTAGTTGGGGGAGATGATCTGTCCTGTGTCACCTGGACTAAGTTCAATCTCTTGAGTCTGAAGAAAGTGACACTCTATGGTATCAGCAGCTATAAATAAAGAATTAAGAAACATATGTTATATCACTCTATAAAAAGTAGTTATTCACCAGGAGGGATTTGATATGGGGAATATCACAATATCCCTGTCTCAAATATTTGATTGATCACTTACTATTATATACCTGATATTGCTCTGACCATGGTATAATATACGTACAGTAAAAATGTTTATATTGAAGATCTGTTTGCCAAGAAAAGCATTAAGTGTTGGAAGGCATTTACTACAACATTATAGAGAGGGTAATTCATACAGAAGTCAGTAGAGTATATGCAGAGACAGGTGTTCACTAGAGATGTGTTCACTTAGACAGGTTTTGCTGTATGCCTTTGAATAAGGTTACATCACAATGACCACCTGGTTTTACAGTATTAATGTATGTGAAAGGTCAAAACTAAAGTCTATGTGATGATGATTTCATAAGAATATTGCCTATTGGTATAAAATATTGCCAAAAATTTGTAATTATCATAAACATTTCGTAATAAATTGCAATGGTAACAGAATGCCTAAAACTAAACAAGGCATTAACATGACATAATGTCACCACTTAGTTGCTCACAATATTATAAGTTCAATCTTAAGTCAGATTTGAATTTCTGAGAATTCTGTAGATGATTCTGAAAAAACATTAGTCAATCTGAAGCAAGTTTTTTGACCTTGAGAATGCCATTGAAGGTCAAATTTATAGTAACATTTGGACTTTTGAGAACTTGTAGATGATTTTGAAAAAAAATTGCTCAATTTGAAACAAGTTGAAAAAATACCTTTTTTAACCTTTTTGACCTTGAAAAGGTCATTAAAGGTCAAATCTTAAATGTAAAGTCAGATTTGACATTTGGAAACTTGTAGATGATTTGGAAAAAGTCAGTCTAAACAGTAACCCGCCCATTGGCAACCACCAACTGCTGCCACAAAAAACGATGACCATAGCAATATGTCACCACTTCTTGGTGATGACCACTTCTTGATGGTGACATAAAAAGCATCCAAAATCATTATCAAAGGTGCTCTTACTAATGAGTTCCAAATGCTACAATTTTTTGAGTACAATATTATCTTTGCTATGGTAACAAATATTACCTAAAATCTAAACAAAGTTTGATTGAACTGAACCTTAATTCTCAACGTAGATAGAAATGAATGAACAAATACAAAGAGTACAGAGTTTACAAACCGAATATACGTGATTTTTGAGTACTTCTAGTGTGATTTTTTGAGTACTTTCAGTGTAATTTTTGAGTGCTTTCAGTGTGATTGTTGAGTAATTACAGACTGCATAAAATCTAAGATAAAAATTGCCGATGAATTATATTTTTACCATAGGATTATCCGGTACTTACCAATTAAATGCAAGTTACAGAATACCAATAGGAATATATACAGCTCACCTGGAAAATCAAAAGGAGGTTATGCATAACTCTTTCAAAATAGAATAGATAATTTCAATGTTAATTTGGGATTCATATTAAAGGATTGTGGCATCGGAAAACAAAAAAGGTAATTTTTTCTCATTCCTGTTGCAAATCCTGTTGCTTGTTGATACTATCCTTCGAAGAATGATGGCTCCGATCTGTGAGTCAGAAGTTGAGTCGGAAATGTAAGAGCATGGGCTCTATCAGGTGGTAGAGCCCATGGTAAGAGTTACTTCATGAATGCCAATATTTACTTCGGTCCAAAGCCTTCTCTATATTCCGGCTTTGAGGAGGAAGATTGAGCTGCCTTAGTATTATAAATCATTGTGTCACACGCACAGTAAATATGGCATAATAATATGAAATATACCTTTATGTATAGATTTGAAGAACATCAGCTCACATCCCCGTCAGAATCTATTGTTATATTTGATTTCTTTAAGCGAGAATAATTTCAAATGTTATTCACGTCCAGAACCGGAAGCCATTTTTAGCTACAGCGAGAAAATTTCACCATGTGTCAAACTCCGAAATGAAATTTTGAAATATCTAAATCCAGACAAGCAACGCTTCATCCTAAATATGATTAATATTCTTAAAAATATTTATAAAATTTATTAAAAATGAGTTCTAGGTGCGTGTAGGTGCGTATAGCACAGTACATACGAAATCAATGAAGTTTCGTCTAGCTGTAAGCTAGAGACTCGAGTAAGCCAATATGCCTTCCATATGCTAAGAAACATTAAAAAATAAATATCAAAATAATAACAAGTAAAAACAGAGAAAAGCATATAAAAGTCGGATTTATGTGACTGACAAAGATCAATTGAAATGAAATGCCAGGCAAATGCAAATGGCTAAAAAAAAAATGTGAAAAACTTACATTTCAAGAAGCACTTTTGAGGACGATCTATTATCTCCATCGTTTCCTTTTAGGTTGAGTATATATTACTAGTGCACATGTTGATAAAAATCGCATTAAAATAGTGAGAAATACAAGAACTACAGGAGAAAATCTAAGAAATATCTCTTTTCCTAAAAGTAACTCTTCTTGTCAGCTGGATTACGCACCGGAATATACTGAACGAAAAGCTCAAATCATTCATCCCAATCGAATCCCCGGGTACATTCATAAGGGACAGCACTAATCCTATCTAGTCAATACCAGAGACCAGAGACATATAAATATATGTCTCTGATGTAAATAACAAAGGCCAGATGGGAGGACAACAAAGGGCTAACCTTATCCTCCTAAATATGATGATGACTGATCTATTTTAGGTTTGTCAATTGGTGGTTGCCGGACTCACAACAATAGTTTTGTTACACCAGCTTACAATGTTATCACATGGCATTCTGCAGGTCTCAATGCTATAACAGGCCAACCAGCTCATAATGTTATCACATGGCATTCTGCAGGTCTCAATGCTATAACAGGCCAACCAGCTCACAATGTTATCACATGGCATTCTGCAGGGCTCAATGCTATAACAGGCCAACCAGCTCATAATGTTATCACATGGCATTCTGCAGGGCTCAATGCTATAACAGGCCAACCAGCTCATAATGTTATCACATGGCATTCTGCAGGGCTCAATGCTATAACAGGCCAACCAGCTCATAATGTTATCACATGGCATTCTGCAGGTCTCAATGCTATAACAGGCCAACCAGCTCATAATGGTATCACATGGCATTCTGCAGGGCTCAATGCTATAACAGGCCAACCAGCTCATAATGGTATCACATGGCATTCTGCAGGTCTCAATGCTATAACAGGCCAACCAGCTCATAATATTATCACATGGCATTCTGCAGGTCTCAATGCTATAACAGGCCAACCAGCTCATAATGGTATCACATGGCATTCTGCAGGTCTCAATGCTATAACAGGCCAACCAGCTCATAATATTATCACATGGCATTCTGCAGGTCTCAATGCTATAACAGGCCAACCAGCTCACAATGTTATCACATGGCATTCTGCAGGTCTCAATGCTATAACAGGCCAACCAGCTCATAATATTATCACATGGCATTCTGCAGGGCTCAATGCTATAACTGTTATCACAGGACATTCAGCTCACAATATTATCACAGGCCGTAATACCAGCCCAGGCCACCCAGATCACACTAAATATTTTCAAAGACCACCTAGTTCACAATCTTATCAGACTAACCATCTCATGATGTTATCACAACCATTCAGGCCACAATGCTATCACAGATCACCCAGCTTACACTTAATGTTATTATAGAACACCCATCTCACAATAATATCACATACCAACCAACTCATAATGTTATCACAACCATTCAGGCCACAATGCTATCACAGATCACCCAGCTTACACTTAATGTTATTATAGAACACCCATCTCACAATTATATCACAGACCAACCATCTCATAATGTTATCACAACCATCCAGGCCATAATGCTATCACAGATCACCAAGCTTACACTTAATGTTATTATAGAACACCCATCTCACAATGATATCACAGACCAACCATCTCATAATGTTATCACAACCATTCAGGCCACAATGCTATCACAGATCACCCAGCTTACACATAATGTTATTATAGAACACCATTCTCACAATGATATCACAGACCAACCATCTCATAATGTTATCACAACCATTCAGGCCACAATGCTATCACAGATCACATAGCTTACACTTAATGTTATTAAAGAACACCATTCTCACAATAATATCACAGATCAACCATCACATAATGTTATCACAACCATCCAGGCCACAATGCTATCACAGATCACTCAGGTTACACTTAATGTTATTACAGAACACCCATATCACAATAATATCACAGACAAACCATCTCATAATGTTATTACAAACCATTCAGGTCACAATGCTATCACAGATCACATAGCTTACACTTAATGTTATTACAGAACACCATTCTCACAATAATATCACATACCAACCAACTCATAATGTTATCACAACCATCCAGGCCACAATGCTATCACAGATCACCCAGCTTACACTTAATGTTATTACAGAACACCCATCTCACAATTATATCTCAGACCAACCATCTCATAATGTTATCACAACCATTTAGACCACAATGCTATCACAGATCACCCAGCTTACACTTAATGTTATCATAGAACACCCATCTCACAATACTATCACAGACCAACCAACTCATAATGTTATCACAACCATTCAGGCCACAATGCTATCACAGATCACCTAGCTTATACATAATGTTATTAAAGAACACCCATCTCACAATGATATCACAGACCAACCATCATATAATGTTATCACAACCATTAAGACCACAATGCTATCACAGATCACCCAGCTTACACATAATGTTATTAAAGAACACCATTCTCACAATAATATCACATACCAACCAACTCATAATGTTATCACAACCATCCAGGCCACAATGCTATCACAGATCACCTAGCTTATACATAATGTTATTAAAGAACACCCATCTCACAATGATATCACAGACCAACCATCATATAATGTTATCACAACCATTAAGACCACAATGCTATCACAGATCACCCAGCTTACACATAATGTTATTAAAGAACACCATTCTCACAATAATATCACATACCAACCAACTCATAATGTTATCACAACCATCCAGGCCACAATGCTATCACAGATCACCTAGCTTATACATAATGTTATTAAAGAACACCCATCTCACAATGATATCACAGACCAACCATCATATAATGTTATCACAACCATTCAGACCACAATGCAATCACAGATCACCCAGCTTACACTAAATGTTATTATAGAACACCCATCTCACAATTATATCTCAGACCAACCATCTCATAATGTTATCACAACCATTTAGACCACAATGCTATCACAGATCACCCAGCTTACACTTAATGTTATCATAGAACACCCATCTCACAATAATATCACAGACCAACCATCATATAATGTTATCACAACCATTCAGGCCACAATGCTATCACAGATCACCCAGCTTACACTTAATGTTATTATAGAACACCCATCTCACAATAATATCACAGACCAACCATCATATAATGTTATCACAACCATTAAGACCACAGTGCTATCACAGATCACTCAGGTTACACTTAATGTTATTAAAGAACACCCATCTCACAATAATAACACATACCAACCATCTCATAATGTTATCACAACCATTCAGGCCACAATGCAATCACAGATCACCAAGCTTACACTAAATGTTATTAAAGAACACCCATCTCACAATAATAACACATACCAACCATCTCATAATGTTATCACAACCATTCAGGCCACAATGCAATCACAGATCACCAAGCTTACACTTAATGTTATTATAGAACACCCATCTCACAATACTATCACATACCAACCATCATATAATGTTATCACAACCATTCAGGCCACAATGCTATCACAGATCACCAAGCTTACACTTAATGTTATTACAGAACACCCATCTCACAATAATATCACAGACCAACCATCTCATAATGTTATCACAACCATTCAGGCCACAATGCTATCACAGATCACCCAGCTTACACTTAATGTTATTACAGAACACCCATCTCACAATGATATCACAGACCAACCAACTCATAATGTTATCACAACCATTCAGGCCATGATGCTATCACAGATCACCCAGCTTACACTAAATGTTATTACAGAACATCCATCTCTCAATAATATCACAGACAAACCATCATATAATGTTATCACAACCATTCAGGCCACAATGCTATCACAGATCACCCAGCTTACACTTAATGTTATCATAGAACACCCATCTCACAATTATATCAGAGACCAACCAACTCATAATGTTATCACAACCATTCAGGCCACAATGCTATCACAGATCACCCAGCTTACACTTAATGTTATTATAGAACACCCATCTCACAATAATATCACAGACCAACCATCTCATAATGTTATCACAACCATCCAGGCCACAATGCTATCACAGATCACCCAGCTTACACTTAATGTTATTACAGAACACCCATCTCACAATAATATCACATACCAACCATCATATAATGTTATCACAACCATTCAGGCCACAATGCTATCACAGATCACCCAGCTTACACTTAATGTTATTATAGAACACCCATCTCACAATTATATCTCAGACCAACCATCTCATAATGTTATCACAACCATTTAGACCACAATGCTATCACAGATCACCCAGCTTACACTTAATGTTATCATAGAACACCCATCTCACAATACTATCACATACCAACCATCATATAATGTTATCACAACCATTCAGGCCACAATGCTATCACAGATCACCCAGCTTACACTTAATGTTATTATAGAACACCCATCTCACAATTATATCTCAGACCAACCATCTCATAATGTTATCACAACCATTTAGACCACAATGCTATCACAGATCACCCAGCTTACACTTAATGTTATCATAGAACACCCATCTCACAATACTATCACATACCAACCATCATATAATGTTATCACAACCATTCAGGCCACAATGCTATCACAGATCACCCAGCTTACACTTAATGTTATTACAGAACACCCATCTCTCAATAATATCACAGACAAACCAACTCATAATGTTATCATGCATTTATATATACATATTATATACATATATCCGCCTCCGTTCACCCCCCTCTCCGTTCAATTTTAATAATTTTCGATTATTTTTTATATAACGTATGGTAACGTGTTTTACAAAACCAACGATGACAATAGTTTTGTGATAATAACTTCACTTACACGTATTTAAAACATTGGCATTTGCACTTTGGCGACGCTGCACTTTTTTTAATAGATCTTCTATCTTAGAACTCCATCAGTTCAAAAAATCTTTAAAGACCTCACATATTTCCCCGTACACTGCGCCTATTCATTTAGCCATTCAATTGTAAACCTTTTCTTGAAAAAGTAAATCTCCAAGATTTGTTGAATTTTCTTCCGTTCATTTCTTCCGACCACCGGGCGTGAATTTGATACAATGTCAAATGGTAAATCATTGACTTCTACAAGGGGCGCGGGGGGGGGTGCTTTGTGCAATTATGATCAATGTGTAATGAAAAGGATTCGAACTACCTTGAAGGTAGATCTGAAATCAAATTTTAAATCAAAATGTTCACAAAAGTTGGAAAGTCTTGTTATTCTTACATTTTTGAAGAGGATTTGTAACATTGTTCAAATGATATTGAAATGCATATTTGTCCAAATTTACTAACAACGATAAGAGGGGAAATAACCCCAGGATACGTATGTCTATCGTGTAAATCTGTATTGAGGAGACATCGTCGCTGATTGGTCAAATTGACAAAATTTCAAACACGTTTCGAATATTATTTTCTGGCGTGTTCATTAATATCATAGTTAGTTTTTTGCATCAAGCTAACATTGATAAAAACATCACAACGCCGTGTTGTATTCGAAAACTAGCCAGTGAAAATTCTGATAAACGAAGGTGTAAGCAAAAGACGTAATTGTGCCTGTCATCTTTGAAGGGGTTTCCCTCCTCATATTTTCATAGATTTTTTATTTGCTCTTACAGGACTTATCAATTTGCTTTTGTTGGGGCATTTGGTATTGGACAAACACAAATATCGTAGTTTATTTTGCGCTTTGCATTCGTTTACATTTCGTGAAATATATAAACACGATGTCCACAAACTAATGTTTATTGATTATTTGCATTCCCAAGTTTGTACAACTTTTAACAATCTGGACCTTCTCATTTGATTTAACCCCGTGTTCTTTTTTGTATTTTTGACGAGTATTCTTGTCACATACCAAGGACAGAGCAATTTTGTGAGTATTGTCGACATTTGGGAGTGGTTGAAAAACGAGCATCGGGACTGTAATCCACATCGTATATTATATCAACGAAGTAACAACAAAATGACCATTTAACCGTTTCAGTTTACTCACCCAGGTTTACGTGAGAACATGAACTAATTGAAATCTATGATATTTACATAATTATTTGGTTAGAAAAATGAGTCTAAGTATGCGGACGTGGATGTGTTTATCGAAGAATCTTCGAGTATGTTATTCAGGAAGACATTTCTCACAGAGACAGGTTTTGGAGTCAAGACGAACGCACACGGAATCTTATACCACCACTGGATACTCGTTCGGTACGTATATGTAGGGATCTTAAGATATCGAAATGCCGAACTAATCGGTCAGCCTTCTTGTGAATTGTTCATTGAAGAATATTGAGTATCGTTGTTTTCAGTTGGTCCAAACGCTCTGTTTGAATTAAATTATCATATAATTTGCATTTCTAGTCATAATTTTGGGAAATATTCAATGTTTGATGCATTATTTTTGTCCGAATCATTTTGTATTTAAAAATATCTCTGCAATTGGATTTTCTTGTAGAAAATAACATTTCATAATGCGATATAAAGGAATTAAACAAATCATGGTATCATATGCCACTCCATCATGTCTGTAAATTAAAATTTTCAAATTTGTATGCGCTAGTAGTATAATAGCTGAAATCCAAATACTACTTTTGAGACAAACATCCTCACATATAGGCTTTTATTCGTAATTCCCATGGGTATGTGCTAAACGTTTAGTGCAGTCAAGTTCCATAATTTTCACATTTCGCAGAATTGATTGGTCCCCAAACGCATAATAACTAATTCTCTTGATTTCAATAACCCTAAGTTATTTTTTAGACTTCACAAAAGAGCAGCAGAAACTAAAGGAGAATGCCAAAAGTTTTGCAAGAGAGGAGATACTTCCACTGGCTGCAAAGTATGACAGAGCCGGACGTGTAAGTTCAAATATGTGCTTACAATCAAAGTAACACTGGCGGATCCAGAAAGAAAATTGAAAATTAAATGCCAGATTTTTAATAATTTGGCCTAAAAAGGCCCAAAGGCCAAGAAATGACGAAAGAGGCCAATTAATCGAGACCCTACACAATTTTTGGACCCAAATATTTTTGGGCCCAATGATTTTTCTGGGACTGACAAAATTGTCAGCAATATGTACAAGATTGACCTCCGTTTACTGTACCAATGTATTCATAACCGTTCCAAATATGATATTTCCCAATAAAATCGATCATTGCTATCATCACACGATGAAGCTAATTAAGAGGTACAGGGGGACAAGTAATGATATGACAATTAAGAAATTATATCAGTTACAAAATATTTATAATTGAAGCAATCTTTGGAAATGTTACTCGCTGATCTGACTTTGTCAAGTTAGCGTCCACTTAAAGAAAGCTTGTGCTATTTGACTACAAAGTCGTGAAAGGTCGAACTAACTAAATAAAATAAATAATTTAATTAAACTGTTAAATAAAGGAATGAATTAAACTAGCTCTACAAACGAACAGGTACCAATGGGTATTTTGCTCCAATTGAAAAGTTGTTTCAATAATGTAATTAAAACGTGAAACTGGCAAAAGCTTAAATTTGCATTCTCATTTCCATCAATACTTTTCAATACACATTTGCAGAGTCCCGTAGACATCTAAAATGAGAGCATTTGTCTCAATATTCATAGAACGACCCTCGTAAATACACATTTTCATAATTACCAATGAAATGGTTGATATTTTTCAAATTCATGAATGTAAGTGGATATTTATATAATAATTATCATTTCGAAATCAAATTATTTTGTCGAGATTATTTTGAAAGGTCACTTCCGAAAAGTGTGGAACTACCTCAGACGTAAACATAAAAATGTTATATATCATTTTGCAGTACCCGCGAGAGATTCTAGATGAAGCGTGGCACAGGGGTTTAACGAATCACCACATTCCTAAAAAATATGGTAAGAGATTTAATTTTCTCCGATCTATAGAGTTTAATTTTCTCCGGAGAAGTTATTGATATCATTAATCACTTGACTCCACCAAACAAATCTAGCAAACAATAGGAAACTTATTGTTCTACATTAACCGAGTGATAGGGAGTGATAGTGGTAGGGAGAGATGATTTAAGCCCTGTACTCAGTGCAATATGGAATGACCATTTCTCGAATTAAGGTGTTGCTTTCCAAAATTTGCACGAGACGCTTGCATCGAGTGTTTACCTTAAAGGAAACAATGCCTGAAAGGAATGGTCATTCCACAATGCATTGAGGAGGGCTAAATTATTCTTTTCACACATTGCAAAATATTTTATTCAATATCACTTAAAAGATACAACGAAATATAATACAAGGGGGATTATACATCAGGAAACAACATTCTAACGATATTATGTTTGTCGTGACAGGTGGAGCAGGACTGGGGACAGTAGAAGAATGTATGGTTGCCGTAGAGCTGGGATATGCATGTTCTGGTTTCACTGTGGCAGTAGAAGCCAACAGTTTGGGCGTAGGTATTTCACACATCTTGGTCCATCAAGGTATCATAACTGATCATGAAGGAATACACTGGTTAAACAGTATGTATTTCACATCGGCCTAGGCGATACTTGCGTCCATAAGCATCTTACAACCGGATCGACATACATAAAAATAGTTTGTATCTAGAGAGTACACGGGCAAATGACACCGGGGCCAGTACGAGGTAGTACGAGCCCCGTTCCCTCAAAGGGTTCTGTAGAACCTTGTATAGGTCTAGTAACGAGTCCCGTAATTGATCGTAATGGCTTGTGATTATAAGGCCCGTCAGAACTCGTAATTTACTAATTTCCGCGCTTGCCCATACGGGGCCTGTAACTGCTGGGGATATTTGATCAACGTACTTGCCCGTACGTAGATCGTAACGAGGCCCGTAAATTTCTGAGCTTTGTAACGGGCTGTCATTGCGATGCCCGTAGGAAGCCGAGTCGTAATTTTCAAGCCTCGTTCAAGTTTGTACGGGGCCCGATATAATTTGCCTCTGTACCGACGGGGAGGGGGGGGGGTTGGATTAATTTTTTATCGACAAGTTTATGCAGCAAGTTTTAAGAAAAATGGTACCATACGTTTGGACCCATCATCCTTGATCCAATATTACTAGGGTCTTTATGCAATAATTTGTCTAGACATCATAGAAAACGAAAGTTTCAATATTTTAAAGAGCCAAAGCTGGTGCAATGCTTAGCAGTTGGCTCAACTGCTTTGTTGAGAGTATTTTTAAATCCACAACGTATCATCATGCCACATGAAATATTCAAGACTGATATATGAGCAATGTTGTCATTTTATTTCAGTCAGTTCCCCTGTTAATTGGTGGAGATGAACAGCTGAAGAAGAAATACCTCACAATGCTTACTGAGGAGCCGACGAGATGTGTTAGTAACTACGAGATAAATGATTTCTCTTTTCAAAACATTTCATTTGTTCTACACATTGTTCTTGACTGTCGAAAGGTTGAAACAAAATTAGAAGGTCTCTGAACAAAAAAATCATTTAAGATATAAAAATATGAAAATACATTTCTCAAAACTGTTTCTCAAAACTTCTAAGAAAATCAAAATACCAACATTCCTTGTTTAAAGCACATTTCTCCAAAAATATTTTGAATTACCATTTATGTAGTACATTTTATTTTCCATTTTCAGTTAAATATAGTTACACGCAAATATAGTGACACCCTTAGTCAAACCATGGACGTATATCAATATACGTCCATGGTCAAACAGACATTCAAATATAGCCTTATCTTTTCATCTAGAAAACCCACACTGCCATCTATAACTAGAATCTTTCACCAAGGAAACCCAAACTGCCATCTATTTATCTTTCCTATACCTATTGTTTCAGGCATATGCCGTCACGGAACCATCAGCTGGGTCTGATGTGGCGGCCATAAGAACTAGAGCAGTTAAAAAAGGAGATGAGTATATTCTAAACGGGTCTAAAATGTGGATCACCAGCGCAGGAGAAGCTGACTGGTACTTCGTACTGGCACGTACAGATTGCAGTGACGTCAATGGTGATGGCGGGAAACTAGCAGCAAATAAAACATTAAGTGGATTTATCGTGGAGCGGGAATGGCCAGGAGTGACAGTGGGAAGAAAGGTATTCATTTGACCTTCAGATTCAGCCTAGACAAGGTCAGCTGCATGTTAAATAGAGACTATGATAACAATGCATTAATAGCACCCGAAATGTCACCACCTGCCATTTGTTACAGACGCCGACCGCCGAACACAAAAAGTCGACCGCCGAACACCGTCCATAAAAAGTTTGAGACTATAACAATACTTGTGATGATGACATAACAATCAAAATTAGGTCATCAGACTTCCAGAGAATGAATCAAGCGTTTAAGTCTTCAATTTTACCTACTGTATTTCTCATAAAATATAAAGGAGTGGTATCGATATGGAGAACTTTTTGAACACACGTTTCTCTTAAACCAGTCATAAAAACACTTGTTTTGTTCTTGGTGTCATGTTTCAAGAGTGAAATGAAACATCTTTCCGAACCTCATTGGAACAAAACGACATAAACACGACATGTTAAGGTCTCTCAATATTGTAATTGTACAAAGGACATTTTGGTTGATTTTAAAAAAGTATCTTGTTAATGGAATAAAAGGTTTATCTTGATTTTTATCTATTTTGGGGGGATTTTGTTTTAATTTTTTGAATATTTTTTTTAAATCAACCAAAAATTCCTAAATGTTGAGAGATCTAAAGCATGTTGTATATGCTATTTTGTTCCAACATGGTTCGGAAAGACATTTAATTTCATTCTCAAGAATTGGTAGAAAGGAGCAAAAACAATTGCTTTAAAAAACAAAAAATGTTAACAAAAACAGTTATATAAAATATTTCGCATAATAATTTTCGCATTAAATTGTTGTCAATCAGTCAACATTACATAAAATACCGTGTTTCTTTACAGAATATTTTCAATGATTGGTTTAAGAGAAAAACATTGTTGAATTCAGTTCACCATATCGATACCAATCCTTTACCATTCGTCCTTGCACATGAAGTTAATGGTATTTTTTAATTCAAAGGAGCTGAATATGGGCCAGAGGGTATCAGACACAAGAGGGGTGACCTTCGATGATGTAAGGATACCAGCAAGTAACCTAATAGGCCAGGAAGGCCAGGGGTTCAAGTTGGCCATGGCAGCTTTTGATCAAACCAGACCTGCGGTAATAATTTGATCAGTTATAGCAATGACATGCAAATGTGAATCATATCCAGGTTTTGTCATGTTTTGTCTTTAGTCAGATTTGAATTTCTGTAAACTTGGCCAATTTGAAGTAAGTTGGAAAAAGACCCTGAGATGACCATTAAAGGTGAAATCTCAAATCTTAAGTCAGATGATTTTGAAAAAATTGGTCAGTTTGAAGCAAGTTGCAAGTTAAAACCTTTTTTGTGACCTCGAGATCTAGAAGATCATTAAAGGTCAAATCCTAGATCTAAAGTCAGATTTGAACCTCTGAAAACGTTTTTATGATTTTGTGTTTCATTGTATTCTAGGTTGCGGCTAATGCTATAGGCCTTGCCGAGAGATGTTTAGATGAGAGTGTAAAATATGTTCTAGATGGACGCTGTGAACTAAATGTGAGTACGAGCTTAGTTAAACGTAATTGCCATGACATATTCATGGTATTAGAGTAAGGAAAATTGCATGAAGGGAAACGAAGGAGGAAGATTCAAATCAGACAGCCATAAGAACCATTTACTTTAACGTTACAGATCGTTGTTCCTCTCGAGCCTTTGCATCGTAATAACAACCTAAAAGCTCAATCTTAGATAAAAAAAACTGCGAATATGAATGCATAAAAATTTGGAAAAATAATATTTTTTCAAAATTGTACAGATTATCATTACAACACTTCATCTTTGTAGGAACATGCCATATCAAACTATATATCAAACATGGCGACCGGTATAGAGGGTTCCAAGGCAGTCATGTACAGATCAGCTTGGATGATAGACAATGGACAAAGAAACACATATTATGCATCTATTGCTAAATGTATGGCTGCAGAGATGGCAAATAAGTGCGCCGCGGATGCAGTAGAACTATTTGGTCTGAATGGACTCAATGCCGACTACCCAGTTGAGAAGCTGATGAGAGATGCAAAGATTTTTCAGGTAAGCGTACAAAGATATTTCAGTGAGGAAAAATAAGAATGGTATCATTATGGAACCACAAAACCATTTTAAACGACGTAAACAGCTCTAAACGAAATAAACAGTTTACTCAAAAACTATAAACCACTCGAACCTTTCAAGACAAGAACTACTCGTATATAAATTGATTTCGATTAGATGGGGACATTCCATTTGAATATTTGAAAAGTTCCAAACCTGTTTTATCAGTCTACAATGTAAAAAAACGTATGAAAGTAAGAATAATAGAGATGAATGTTTTGCCTGTGGATTATAGTTTGTATTGTGTTGTGTTGTAGATATATGAGGGAACATCTCAGATCCAAAGGATCATCATTTCTAGGGAACTACTGAACAATGCAAGACAATAAAAACAATAGAAAGACTGGAAAACATGACAAGTGATGATATGAAGAAAAGACAGACAAAAAGACAAAGAAAATACATTACAAAAAGCCCAGATTCCTAATGATATAAATTCGTCCATGATAAAATGTACTAGGCTAGAAGTTTTGTTTAATTGCATAACCTTTGTTGAAAGTGTCATCCGATTTACATTAGAGAGTTTGATATTTATAGATCCATTATATTCTTTGTCAGTGTGAAAAATACGGCAGCTTCTCGTATGATTAGATAAGAAAAATTTATAGAAAAATGACGAAATGAGTGAAAAACTGTTTGTATTTGTGAGAATGACATTCATTCAATGCAACGAGCTACTCCAATAATGGATTGCCATCTGGACCAATGTATTGTCATATTCTTAACGCCATGACGTTTTTTTTCACTTGTCAAGGCGATGCTTCGGTCCAGATGGCCACCGATACTTATCCAACGAAATCATTGGTCTGTAGAAGACTTTGACAAACCTGAGATTCAACTACTGAGTTCAAAATACTAAATAAAGTCTATTAGCTATATAGCTAGTCTGGAAGAGAATAGCTTTTTGTAATTTCACCCAACTATCACACCAAACTAGTTCTCACTACTTTCTGGAAAACGGGCTTCAACTGTGTACGAACGGACTGAACGTACTTAGAACCGTTTGGGGTCTATTTACAAACTTCATCAACATGTTCTCTTGGTCGTCACGTTCTACAATTAAAACGAGTGACAACCTACTAACGACGAGCTGGACGTACTACGAACGGAACCGTCGTACTTCAATCCTACTAGGGAAGTTTTTACAACGAGTTGAACTGTCTGAGGACGTATTTAGAACGAGGTAGAACTAATTGCAAACGGGTTAAAACTGATTAAGAACGTATTTATCAACGAGTTAGCAAAAATATAGCTATCATAATAGCAAGTTGCCACTGCGTTCTTCAAAACGTTGCCGAATCGGTTTTAAACTGTGTGCGAACGGAATGAACGTAGCTACAACGTTCTACGGTCTGTTTACGAACTTCATGGACTCTCCCGGACGGGTATGGTGTTTAAACTGCTTCTTTATTCGGTACATTAATATTCCATAAATACCAAATAAAACAAACTATTTACCAAACCTTTACCCAATCTATCGAAATGTTTTTTTTATTTTATCAAATGTATTAATCTATACAATTTATATTCGCTAAATAGTTTCACTTGTTCTTTGTATTGACATTCACATTTGATATTTATACATGTATTTGTGTGATGCAGCGAATCAATTTGTTTTCCTTAACGCACGTATAATTCAATTAATTATTTGTACATTCGGTATTTAAATTATTTATATTCGGTAAATACCGAATGTCACATTCGATAAATTTCGTTATTTTTCGATAATTTACGAGACTTTCAGTCACGTGATATATTTGTACGATGTAGAATAGCTGCGCGGCCATTTTGCAAATCTCGAAGTCACGTGACAAAATATCGAGCAACAACACAAGTTATCGAATATTACTTTATTGCGTTCGGTAAATAGAAAATTAGCTTTCGGTAAAATGCATTAACTATGTCATAGAAAAATAAACCATTTGGTAAATATAGGCAAACTTATTTCGGTAGGGTTCAAATAGAAATTCAATATTGTGCATATAATGTGTTACTCTTAAGGAATACCATAACAATTTACGCAAAAAATATCATTTAACGAATGAAATTTAATGCACATAGTATTAAGTGATTGGCTATTTTGAAAACTTAATTTGCTGTAACAAACATATAAACGTTTTTACCGTATGGAAAAATGATTTAGCGAATATAAATGTTTCATATATCGAATATATTTGAATTTAATGAATACAGAAGCAAAAATAATGCCATAGACGGGGAATGTGATTTAGAATTTTGAATCGATTCAGAATTCGATAGCGACCATACCGTTCTGTAATCAGGCCATGATGACCTTCTAGACTTAGGGACGCGTTATACGACGTTGCACACCGACGTTGTGCGACCTGAAGGAACTGCGAATGAGATGGACGTATTGAAGACTGTTTATGAACGAAGTACATGTAGCTCATTATTTTAGACATATTTCCCGACCACAGCCAGATTGAGCCCGTTTTACGACGTTTTCGAAGAACTGGCAAGAACGGGTAAGAATTAGTTTGGTGTGATAAGGGGGGGGGGGAGGGGGGGGGGGGTAAGGTCCTTTAAAATGCTTAAGATATAACTGACTAAATATTTTTCTTTACATTCATACTATAGGCCTATAAATCTTTTAATGTGTAAATGAATATCAATTAACGTAATAAAGTGTAACATAGTCATATGTTTATTAATTTTTCCTATAACCTTATCGATCTATAGTAGGGCAGCCATTTCATAATCATGTCATATTTTCGGGCAATCTTTCTCTTGCTTATATAGATACGTTCTAGAGACAAAGCTTCCTTCGTATTTCTTAATACTAATGGATATCCAAATATATAAATGATGATTCTCAATTGGCTGTTTGGGGTTTAAACGCAACCACAGATGGAAGTCATGGAAAGACCCCTTTGGCGACCTCTACAATTTAATCATGTAAACTGGACGTATACTATATTGCACGTAGTTATACGTCCTATACTTGCACACTGTCAGTCGTTCATATCTTATAACTTTTTCCCTATTAACAGTTTGATAAAATATATGTAGTGATGAGATGCATGACACTGAAATGAGGATTTATCTGACACCTAATATATTATGTCCTTGTACAAATTAATGGAATGAAGTAAATTGTAATATCGACTTTATCTTAAATTTCAACAACACTCATTGATCATGATTCGGAAAATTAAATTAAAAATGATTCAATTAGAGTGACACTTTTCATCTGCATAAAAATATACTAGATTTATACTTCATTTGAACAATGCACATATACTAGACAAGATGGAAACCGGCATAGCAATATTTTTATTTGCGTTGATTCTAACTGTCGGTAGAGCAATAGAAGAATGTCCAAACGACGCCTTTATCGTACCACATGATGGAGCAAAGCCGTCCGTATTTGACCAGATAACTGCGCCCGAAATCAATGCAGTTCTGGATTATATGAAAAGGGAGTTTAATATTAGAGTATCACGGAAGGCAAACATGTCGGAAAACTTTGTATTCTTGATGGAAAAGAAACCTGCATTGAAACATGAATTATTGAATTATATAGATAATGGCGGGACCGCACCGGTACGTGAAGCAAGAGTCGGGCTGGCCACATCAACCGGAGTTGAAGAGTATACGGTTGGGCCTTTGCCCGCACCGACGTATCATTTCAAAGCAGACAATCCAAAATGGAGAGAGCTTCAATTCACGGACAGACCGCCTACATTACCGTCAGACGAGGATGGCATTGACCAAACTGTCACACGAGAGACACACAAACTAAAGAAACTTATGAAGGAAAGCTTTGATGGATTTTCTTTCGATCGTAAATGTGGAAACAAATGTTTGGACTATGAATATGGCGCTGTTTTGGTTCACAACAATAGTCGGATACTTTGGGTATATTTTGTACGGATTATACCTCCTACTATTGGTGAGGATATCTCGCATACACTCGCCCTTCAAATACTCCTCAACATAACTGGTGCTGATACAGACCAATGGCATTCGCTAAGAGCTTACTACAACGGCCAATTTTTTAACTCGACAGAAGAGTTGGCTGAAAAATATGATACTGGAGAAGTAGACAAGATATTTCAGTCCTTTAACGAGTCAACAGACACTTTTTCGACATTAAAAAGACACACAAATCGTTACACAAAGAGCAGCAGACGAGGTCCAACATGTTTTCCCCAAGATGGTCGGCGCTACTCAGTTGATGGGCATCACGTAAAATATTTAAACTGGGAATTCGATTTCACAAATCGAGCTACTTCGGGACCGCAACTTTTTGACATTCGATTTAACGATGAAAGAATTGTTTATGAGTTGTCTCTTCAAGAGATTTTGTTGGCATATTCCGGGTTAACTCCATCGTGGAAGTACCATACACTTATACTTGATGGCTACCTCCAAACTGGTCTGTTTATTTCACCTCTAGCTCCTGGTGTTGACTGCCCAGAAGGAGCGTCTTATTTCAACCAAGTGATCTATTCGTATAACATCGGAACACCCATTGAAATAAAAAATGCGTTCTGCATTTTTGAATACACTGATGGACAACCCCTAAGACGACATTATGCAAACGATTATTTTATTCCCAACGGCCGCTACAAATATTATGGAGGTATGGCAAACAATGCTTTAGTCCTCAGATCTGTTCTCGCCGTATATAACTATGATTACACGTTCGATTTTATTTTCTACCAGAATGGTGTAATGGCAACTAAAATCGGACCGTCTGGTTATCCCATAACAGAGCCGTATAACAATGGAGTTAGAACAACACAAGGCTTTAGAATAAACAGAGATATATTTGCGCCTCTCCATCAACATCTTTTTCATTTCAAAGTGGACATTGATGTCCTTGGACGAAAAAATAGACACGAAACGGTGACTCTGAAAATGAAATCGGAAACTGATATACTATTTGGCGACAACAAAGACGTCTTTCATAATCAATACGCGAAAAGGAATCTGAAAGGGTCGGAAAAGAACACCACCTACAAGTTCAAACTGCATAAACCAAAATACTTTTTATTCTTTAATAAACAAGCCAAGAAAAGCAAATGGGGTCATCCAAGAGCATACTCGATTGAAAATCATGGTGCTAGCAAGTTTCTTTACCCTGACGACTGGTCAAGAGTTGGCTCTGTGGCCTGGGCAAAATACCAACTAGCTGTTTCAAAACATCACGTGAGATCTAGATTTTGTCATTTTTCATTGTATTACTATATCACCTAACAAGGATATTGTCCGACTGCAGGTAATACTATTAGGAAAAACAATGATATCGTCTCATTTTTCGCCTTTCTGGGCACATTGTCCAAATTCGTAAAATATTAGAGAGCACAAAGTTCTAGAGCTGATCACTTTTAGGCGGCCATTTTGTTTAATGGCAGCCATTTTCAGTTAAACTTTTCATCGTAACTCCAGCTTGAAAGTTATATATTCCTTCAGGTACATTCGTCTTAAATCACCAGCAGATACCCATTGTTGAAATGATCACTAGCTTATGAGTTTATATAAGATCAATAAGCTCTATTTCTTTTTTTTATTTGTTTTTATTAGGACAACGAGGACCAGAGCTCCACTGTATACAATGGCATGAATAGTAAGAACCCCGTTGTTAACTTTGACTCCTATTTCGACGATGAAAATCTAAAAGATGAGGTAAGTAAAAATCGTAATGTATAAAGAAGTAAAAGAAAACTTTCAAAACCCCTTTAATTGATCCTACGAGGGTATATCATAAATTCCTTTAATTTACAACTGATTTTAACGATATACAAATTGGATAAACAAATTGATAATTATTGTACTTTAATCGCGAGGTTCTGAGGAGAAAGGATTTGCTTTAATCAAAAATTCGCATTCATCCAAAACTATTATCTGACTTTATTTTATGTCACCACCACCTCGTTATAGTCTCCAACTTTTTTTGTGGACGATGTTCGGCGGGTGGTGGTTGGCGTTCGTCGGTCGGCGTCTGTAACAAATGGCAGGTGGTGACATTTTGCATACAAATGCCTTGTTATAGGATCTTGTCGCATGGGTGTCTATTGGATTGCACCATCTTCCAAACAGTGGCCTTGATTCTCCAACCACAACAACTGCAGGGAACCACAAAAGTTTCTACCTGAAACCTTTCAATTTCTTTAATGAAGATCCCTCGATAGCATCCAAAGATAATGTGTTTATAATACCCGGAGAGGATGGTGAAAACGTTGTAGAGGAAAATCCGAAAAGCTCTAAAGAAAACTGCGCACCGCCTAAAGATACGAACAAGTTTGAGGGGAATCATGACAAACCGTAAAAGATGTAGAGTACCAAGGAGGACAGTCATATCAAATTAGAAAGATATTGAACATTGATGCACTTTGTAAATGTTGTAAAAGATAAATCTGCCTTTTGTGTTAGAGCCTCTACAAAGGATGACTAGCATAACAATTGAATTACTTTGTTTGATCTGGGAGTTATCATCTTTATCATCACCGTCATGATGTTTTTCAGAATAGTAAACTATAGCTAGGACGCTGTGATCGTTTCTTCTGGTCATTCATGTTTTATTCAAACATGTGAAACTTTTCGATGATCGTTCAACATAACAAAACAGCGAAAATTGAAAAATAAAATAGTTGGTTTTGGAAAGGTTGGAGAGTCCACGGGAAAAGTATATTTACTAGTTTGAGTAATCAGAATTCACCCGGGAGGGTTGGCATGCTATAGGCGTGCGCATACATTTCATTCATTATAATATAAGAGCCAAAATAAGTCATGAATTAGTCCACCCAAAAGAGATCGGAGGATCAAAAGTTAATTTCAGCTAATCTGCCAGATCTAAACATAAAATCCAGAATTAACGTATTTGTTTGACGGGTTTAAAATGTAAAACGCCAAATACCTATATATTTACCTTTGATCTTGACTGATACTTGACCCGTACAAGTCAACCTTGACATCAGGTCACCGAATCATGGATTGCCAAGGGTTACAGCGACCCCCAAGGCCCAGGGGCCTTAAAACACCAAATACCTCTAATATTTGACCTTGAGATGACCTTGACCAATGAACGTTGGCATTGACAAGGACATTGTACAGTCAAGTCAAGTAAGTAAGTTAACATTCGAAAATAAAAATCTCAAAAATCGTACATCTTTGATTTCCAAAATAATTTGTGAGGTGGTTATTAAGATGGTAATACACATTTTAACGTATTAATTTTGAGTACATCTCGAATCCATTCTCAACAAAGCGTTCTCGAAATAAGTATTCGAAATGTTTGAGTTCGGGATTATAAAAGTACGCTAAGATATACCGCTTCTTAACAAACTCCTTTGGGAACAAGACATAGAATATATTCTTCTTATTTACTCCCTGACACATGCCAATGAATGTTACATAAGTAAATATCTCCGTTTTAAATAATTTTGAAAACACTGTTTTCTACAGGTGCCATTTTTCATAATTGAAAAACAAAATTGAACATTTTGCATTTCTAAATTGATAAGTGTCTTGGAATACAACTTAATTGTAAACAATTTAAGTCATTAATAATATTTCCCTTAGTGATCCCATGCTAAATAGACAGTAATTGGGTCAATGTTTTGTGTTCCACCTTGTTTTCATGACTTTTAAACATGAGCCGACGATTATGTAGGAAATTTCATTTCCAAATGAAAGCGTGTCAACTCCTGTTTTTGCACAATATTTAGCCTTTTATAATGATAGATCGCCAAAATCTGCACGTAGCTCTTAATTAGGCGATATGGTTTTAAATTTATAGATGTAAGCAATAAACTCAAACAAAAATTCAAACCACCCGCTATAATTTTGATTACACAAGACGAAATTTCTACTCCCGGGGAGCACTTTTGTAACACTTTGAAAGAGGATTCTTGAAAAATCGTTCGAATTTTCACAAAAGTTTTCACGTAATTTTATTGCTTCGTTTAAGCCTCGGCCTATATCATACTCAAATCTGATACCATAATTATAAATTAAAATGAAACATTAAACTCACCAGGTTATATGATAAACCGTTTCGAGAATTGATGATTTGAGTTAACTGTGGATATTTATAAAAATGTAAGTCGGCATATATTCGACAGTTAATGTACACACATGATGTATGCATAAACGTGTGACTAAAATATCAATTCGTGACTATCACATTTTGCTTCCAAAAATTAAGTTGGAAGTTACAGTGGTAGGAGATTAACGAAAACGTCAATCACATCCAAATATCCGAACGACGTCAAGTATAAACAATACACTTTTCGTGCATCTCGAACAAGGCAAGGTTCTGTTATCCAGCAATGTGCATTCCGAAAGAAAAAATTCACAAATATCAACAAATTTCATTGAGTAGGATATTACATTCGAAATTACAACTTTCAAATTATTTGTTTTAACCAAGAATTGTAAGAACTTGAAACATGTTGTTAGTTTTTCAAACCGCATATCCTCATTTACATTCTTTGACAAGGATGAATCCATTTGAAAACATGGATTTTCTTGATTATTCTTCAATACTACCCTTGAAATATAAGTATGTAGGATATTACAGTGTAAATTGACACGCATTTGTTTGCTCCTTATCATGAACAAATAAATGCAGTACCATCTTGCAATATTTAAAAACAGAAAGTTCATTCTGTATGTAAACAAGAAAAAATACATTTATGGTTGGTTCATAATGAAAAATGACAAATAACATACATCTTTTGAAGTAGGGGTATACAGGGACACAGTGGAAAATCAGAAATTTAGGTCATATCCCAAAGATTGCTTCACCAATATGTAACAGAACATCAAAATTATCATTTACACGTTTGCTAATAGGTTTATTGAAAATAATTAACCAGAGGTTTACTTCAATTGTGGCACCATTCTAAGTAAATACTGATGAACATACGATTATCGAATGTTGACTAAGTTACTTGGCTTGACTTGGCAAAATATCTAGATATTGATCTTTGAACTTGAGATGACATTGGCCCATGAGCCATATTTTTAACCACAGGCCTCCAATTATGGGTAGTCAAGGTTCACAGCAGCATCAAGGGCCTTAAACGCCAAATGCATAGATGTTGACCTTTGACATTGAGATTACCATGACCATAAATGTTATCCTTGACCTCAGATCACATATTCATGGGTCTCCAAGGGTCACAACAGCTTCAAAATTCTTTAAAACGCCAAATACCTTAATACTGACCTTTGACCTTTAAATGACCCTGAACCATAAAGTTAACCTTGACTTCAGGTCAGTACATAAGCATAGGTCGTCAAAGGTCACAGCACCACAGGGTCCTAAAATGTCAACTACCTAGATATCGACCTTTGAACTCGGAATGACTTTGACCTTTGTAGAATACCCATTGACGTACCCTCAAACGGGTGTCTACAAAACAAAGACCTAAGACCTAAGACCTACAAAACTAAGACCCCCCACGTTATAAAACCAAGACCCTGTTATAAAACTAAGACCCCCCACGTTATAAAACTAAGACCCTGTTATAAAACTAAGACCCCCCACGTTATAAAACTAAGACCCTGTTATAAAACTAAGACCCCCCACGTAATAAAACTAAGACCCTGTTATAAAACTAAGACCCCCCACGTTATAAAACTAAGACCCTGTTATAAAACTAAGACCCCCCACGTTATAAAACTAAGACCCCCCACGTTATAAAACTAAGACCCTGTTATAAAACTAAGACCCCCCACGTTATAAAACTAAGACCCTGTTATAAAACTAAGACCCCCCACATTATAAAACTAAGACCCTGTTATAAAACTAAGACCCCCCACGTTATAAAACTAAGACCCTGTTATAAAACTAAGACCCCCCACTTTATAAAACTAAGACCCTGTTATAAAACTAAGACCACCCACTTTATAAAACTAAGACCCTGTTATAAAACTAAGACCCCCCACGTTATAAAACTAAGACCCTGTTATAAAACTAAGACCCCCACGTTATAAAACTAAGACCCTGTTATAAAATTAAGACCCCCCACGTTATAAAACTAAGACCCTGTTATAAAACTAAGACCCCCCACGTTATAAAACTAAGACCCTGTTATAAAACTAAGACCCCCCACGTTATAAAACTAAGACCCTGTTATAAAACTAAGACCCCCCACGTAATAAAACTAAGACCCTGTTATAAAACTAAGACCCCCCACGTTATAAAACTAAAACCCTGTTATAAAACTAAGACCCCCCACGTTATAAAACTAAGACCCTGTTATAAAACTAAGACCCCCCACGTTATAAAACTAAGACCCTGTTATAAAACTAAGACCTCCCACGTTATAAAACTAAGACCCTGTTATAAGAATCAGTCACCGTGCCTTGCTCTGCTCGCCACAAGGTAGTCTTGCCTCTGGGCCTTGTGTTCCCCAGTAACATACAACAGCGGATTATATAAAAATGGACTGTAACAAATACCCGGATTTGTTGATTTTTAAAAAAAGTAATTTTTTGATATCACTTTTTATGCCCGGCATAAAAAGGGCATAAAACATAAAGACATAAAAAGTGATGTCCCATTTTATGCTGAGCATAAAAAGAGACACTCCATTTTATGCTGGTATTGTTTTGGAAGTGATGTTTAATGGTAGTTCAAGATTTAAGACCCATCATTCTGGCACAGATTGCTGAACCATTGTTAGTTAAGAATTCCTAATAGAATTAAGAATTATTAGCTGAAACTGAGTTGTTTTGCCCTGGCAAACAATTTTCCAACTTGTAGTTCAACTTCTTCTGTCTATTTGTTGACAGTCTGTGATGTCATCATCAATCATCACAATAGAAATGAGGTAATTCACGATGACATCACAAAGTACTCTGATGACATCATCAATCATCACAATGGAAACGAGATAATTCATGATGACATCACAAAGCATCTCTGTCATAGATAGAACTCTGCCACATTTCTTAGAAATCAAACTACTATGTGACATCATAGATAATCTCACTGTCACAGATAGAATTCACCTAATTCCCATTGTGATGATTGATGATGACATCACAGACTGTCAACACATATAGACAAAAATGAATTTCAAATGCATATTGGAATATTGTTTGCTAGGACAAACAGAACAGTTTCAGCTATTAATTCTTAATTCTATTAGGAATTCTTAATTAAAATAAGTTGCTTCTGGTCCTTTAATAACAGGGTCTTAGACCTGTATGTTACTGGGGAACTCGAGGGATAGAGCCGAGACTACCTTAAAATTATGTATATGTGTACGTTACTAGGGAAAACAAGGGTCAGTGGCAAGACTACCATATGTGTATGTTACTAGGGTAAACAAGGGCCAGAGGCAAGACTACCATGTGTAGATTCTGTATGTGAGAAGGGAACACAAGGACCAGAAGCAAGACTACCTTTTGTAGAATCTTTATGTTAGTGGG